CTTTAATAATATCTTCTCACCTACGCCAGTTTTCCAAAGTGGTCTCTTCCCTTCATATTCTTCGATCAAAACTTTGTATGCATTTCTCAACTAATCTATGTATGCTACATACTCATACTAATTCACAGCTCTTAATATGTTCAGCCTAAAATATCTGGTGAGGAGTAAATACTGTGAAGCTCCTCCTTCTGCTTCTGTCAGTTTCTACCTCTGAGGCCCAAATATTTTCTTCGGCACCCTGTTCTACACCTGCGTTCTTTCCTTAGTTTGACAGGCCAAGTTCTACATCCGTACAAAGTAAAAGACAACATTATCTTAATCTTTACAACTTTAGCCAGCAAACGGTGTGACGAGGGTTCTGAACTGAACAGAAACAAAAATATCCAAACTGAACCATATGGTAGTCCGCTAAGAAATTATGAGTAAATTAAATTTGGGGATTGCTTGCTTCCTATCAGCTCTCTGGTGTATAGATTATAAGTTGCAATATCACTGATCAGGATATTTGAATATCCTTTTAAAGGATAATTTCTGGCTTTCCTAAGTTTACAACTGACTCCTTCAGAACGTCTACCTTATCACCATTTATTCTCAACGAAGCTATGTAACATCTGTAATTGGTACATCGTTGTTAAGAACATCATGAATCAATCAACAAAATACGAGAGCACAACTTTGGAAATATTCTTAGATTTTACAACCTACGTCCCTAAGATCCAGCCTAATGATTGTCTGTATTAAATAATATTTTGGTAAAACTCTTTTCATGGGTAATGTTCACTGCACGGTTTGTATATTATGCTGATATCGCTTCACACCAATTTTATTGCTAACGCTTGGGTATATCGAAAACATTTGATTAAACTGCCGTGAAATTTAAGCCTACAAATGTTTTTCGTTGTTACATTATATACTAAATTATATAAACTAAACATATGTTATCATAAAAATAAAAAAAATAAACTGAAGGCATGGTGGAGACAAAAGTTTGACCATGTTAACCTCTATAAACTGACAACAGGAATCTAGTCTGTGCTAAGTTTACGAAAATCTTGGTTAGTACTCAATCACTAGATAAATGTAAAATTATAAACACTAACGGATGCTCTAAGCGACTTACTGTACAACCTCTTTTCGGCAGGCAAGCATGCTTTCATTCTAAACAAGAAATTGACACAAACGAATTCAAACGAACCATGCATGCCTACTCGAGTTTAAGCGGCAGAACAGGTTAATGAGTCATACTTCTACCGAAAGATGTCACTATAAATCAGGTAGCTTGAAACAAATGAAGAGACAAACGCGAACGGCAGTGCCGTGGCTTACCCCGCACCCCTCAACTATTAGTTACATGTAAATCAGTTGAGCCTGATTTTTCATATTTATTTACTACTAATAAGGCCGCGCCATAGCTCAAGCGGTTAGTCGCTGGCTATTCACCGCGACGGCCCGGGTTCGATTCCGGCTCTGGTCAGTTGGGATTTATGGTGGACAAAGTGGCGCTCCGGCAGGCTTTTTTCCGAGTACTTCGGTTTCCCGTGCCAATCTTCATTCCACCAATTGCTCCACAATCACCCTCACCTATCGTCTGGGGCTGGTACAATGGGCCAGAAGTGGCCGCAGTACAAGGAACTTAGTCGCACCCCACTAGCAATAAAAAATACTACTAATAATATACAAGACTTGAAATAATGGAACAGGGTCTACACATATTTTTCAGCTACGTTCTTTGCTTGGCTCTGAGCATCATTTATATAGTAAATTACGGTAAAGATATCACACAGTCCAAAACAAATATTTCTTTGCTTCCCTTTCCATAAAGAAAGACACCATATTCCAGTGTTTTATTAAGTACCGTTACATGAAGACGTATGGGGAAGTGAAGGTAGGTCTATAGCTCCCCGCAATGTTAGCAACTATCCAGTAGGAACCAGGAACTATCTCTCGTGGTAAAGTGTCCACACCATGTAGATGGTTACTTATCTCCATCTCGTGCCGAGGCTAGGAACACATCTTCATGGCGTAATGCTTACGCACATGGGCAATTTACGATGCGACTAGTAATTCTGCCTTCCTTGAGGATGTCTGTTTCTTTGGTCGTGTGTAGCCATGCCCGTGGGGCAAATGTGTGGAGAAATCGTCTAGGTCTCCGAGGTCTCAGTCGTTAACTTTGCGTCACTACGTAATCTGGATAGGCTACACAAGTTCGTATAAAGTAGGACCGGCGGAGAACTAAGGACAGGAACAGCATCTCGATATTTAAGACAGCTGAACAGAATTAGCGGAATTCTTGAGAAACATCTATACAGAAACAAGTACGGGTATTATACAATTCTATGCACATAAATTATTCAAAGCCAGACAAGGAAAATCTGATATTATAACAGGATGGATCCAGAAGATGCAAATATTAGGTTCCAGATTTAGGGAAGCCACATTCGCCGACTGCGCAGGCGCAGAACGAGCTGTTATTTTAACAATGTCGAATCGTCTATGAATTATTTGTTTTATGCAAGGGTTATATCCAGCTAGAGAGTATAGGAAATTGTTCGCAGTCGAAATCACGACGACTTCGACGAAACAGAAAAAAGAAAGTGCAATAATTTCCAAAACAGAAAGATACAGAGAGCGGGACAGAAGCTCAGTACAGCGCAGTATTCCCTTTCCTGGAATCAAAGCCAGGTCACCCAACCCGTAGCTTATCATGCAAGTGCCCTAGCTATCCCGATTCATAAAACAATCTCATATATGTAAGAGTTTTTTCTCTCTAGAAATTTATAAAATCGTGTTTTCCAGTTTACGTTCGACTCATATTAGTAAGAAGAATATTCTCACCAGGAAAGTCACGTCAGAGGGTCTGGTAGAAGTTTACCAAAGTTTCGGAGAAACGTATTGCTTTCAACTTCAGGGCCGAAGAATAAGCCAAGCAGGCAGAGAACTCTGAAGTACTTTCTTCCGAAACGTCAGCAAACTTCTATCAGAATACACAGATCCCCCAGGATAATAAATATAGTTCCTACCCACCACTGGACTTTCTTTTGAGTAGTCGTATGCCATCTGTCGACAGTAGTGGAAAGTAGCTGAGCGGGAGCACCAATTGCACAAATAGAAATTTACCACGACATATGCACTGTGTTAAAGGTGGGACATACTTAGCAGTCAAATGAGATATTGCTGCCCCCAAGATTTATTTTTGACCATATAATATTTACCTTGTATGCTTTATATCGTATTCACATGCCAAATCATTCACGAATATAAAATTATGAACTTCTGTAACTTCCATTAAAACCAGATGCAAAAATATTTTTTTATTGCTAGTGGGGTGGGACTAAGTCCCTTGTACTGCGGCCACTTCTGGCCTATTGTACCAGCCCCAGATGACAGGTGAGGGTGATTGTGGAGCAATTGGTGGAATGAAGATTGGCAGAGGAAACCGAAGTACTTGGAGAAAACCTGCCCCAGTACCACTTTGTCCATCACAAATCTCACTTGATTAGACCCGGGATTGAACGTGGGCTGCTGCGGTGGGAAGTCAGCGACTAACCAGCTTGAGATACAGCACGGCCCTTTTCAGTTAGTTACAACAGGAACATAAGATTATAAAGATAAACAGCCGTTTTAGTTGGTGTAGCACTGTTTAAATTAGTCTGCCTCCATCATCAAGGCTAGGTCCCTCTATTTACATATAAATTTGTGGGGCAAAATCTTTACATTGTTTTCATTTTAAAAGTCATAAGTAAATAATTGGACTAAATTTCACTCTCATTTCATTAATACTTTTTAAAATATTTCACTTAATATTCAGATGATCAACCAAAGAAAATGCATGCTGTGTAAGTGGCCTGTCATCCAAACACATCCAGGAACCCCTGCTCAAAATTATGCGTGCTGGATTTACATTTGTGGCGACCCCCGTCAGCAATAACAAATTTAGGTTATCATAGTTCTTTTTCTTATTTCTTATACCTAAAAGTACAAACTCACTTTTCATTATTTTTGAACTACTTTTTTTTGGAAGACGTAGGGTTATCATTCCAATTGCTCCCCCTTAAATACAGACCTGACTTATTATTATGCTTAATCTATCAAGCTGTCTTTCCGAAACCTTCCATGTTCACAGCACACATATGCAATAAAATCATGATTTCAAAGTGTCCTCCCCTCCAAGGACTACAATGTGTAACAGTCCATTTGTGGCAGGCTTACCCGTGGAAACTGTGGCTAGAGATGGAAAATATAAAATTTTCTTATTAAATTTTCAACAGCATGCATTCCACTTGTTACAAAACCTGAGCAATCAAATACCGATTTGCCATCTTATAGAGAAATATTTGCAGAGTGACTTTTATGGTCTGGTAAGAGGTAAGAAATGCCAGATATTACATTAATGGTGAGCAACGTAAACTAGAGTACATAATAATGCTTCTGATTAATCATTATGATTAAAACAAAACTTTATTACGAGTAAAAATAAGTTACACCATAAACCAAACAAGCTTACAAACAAAACCTTTAACTGAACCTTAATATTAATGCCATTTTCTGTATATCATGTGGAACAGTTAATATATTCATGACCTGATTATCAGGGTCTTATCTGTGAAAATGGGAACCATATGAATGTTATGTTGGCAATAGCCTCCACTTTACAGGTATACCAGCGTCAAGTCTTACAAATTCTTCAGAGCTAGCAGCCATATTTTAACTCATGGATACGACTATTGTTACTGAAGAAATGCGACATCTGGCCAGATGGACAGCACACATGTTGGTGCATGTGGCCTCAAGAGAATTAAACTTGTTATGCCCCTTTCAGATATAGAACCTCCCACTGAATGTTCCTTATTTATGTTCATTTTCAATCATAAAGATTCCTTGTACTCATTTCTGTTAAAGGCTGAGTTGAACCCAGGACCATAGTGCGACAGGAAGGATTAGGTAAATTGAAAAAATCCACCTCATTGGGACTCGAACCCGCGACCTTCCACCTTGTAGCATAGTGCCTCAACCAACTATACTACCGCAAGACTGTTGTTAATTTGGTGCCCCTGAACCTTCTTTGTATTGAACTGGATCAAGTCTGAAACAAGATAGATTTTTTCTCAATTTAATCTAAAAATATTTGAGACTTCCGTATGCTTGTTATTGATGCAGCAAGGAGAGTCTATGCTTTGTTCAGCAACTCGAGTGTGGGCCACTGCATATCATTTGTGCTGCAAAGTCTGTGGTATAACAAACCTCTTTCCTCAATGGAATGGTTTGAGTCAGGATGCACATACCAGAGTGTAGCAATTACTAGGGAAGTTACCAACGTACAGAGCATCAATATTTAAAGTGTTCATCACCCAACCATTGTCCTCTTTCGTCCCCTTGCACGTACCTCGTCCAACTTTTTCAGTATCTCTCTACATTGCTTTTTATTTTCTTCCACATAAGAGCTTAAAATAACTTGGAAAAGTTGGTCTACGTTAGCGTGAGTGCTTATCAATGCTCGCTCCAACACATAAAGATCCACGCCTTTATCTTCTATACTTGATTCCACATGACTTAAACCAAAGTCAATTAAAACAACAGTTGGAATATCTTTTCCATTGTTTACTAGTAACATGTTTGATGTTGTTAAATCACCATGAATGATGTTGTTTGCATGTAATTTCCCCAGTACTCTGCCAATTTCCTGGGCAATTGGGTTTAATTTCATTAACAGATCACCAGTATCCGCATCTCCATTGACTGCCTCTTCCGACATCTGTGCAACATAGTCTTTCACTGTTACACTGTTCTGTATTTCCTCCATGTATATGCGTCTCCGCTCAAAGTCAACCAAATATAAGGCAGGGGTGCAGATTCCTGAAAAAAAAATAATAAGAAGAAAACATCTGCTCCTTCAGTAAAAGATTAATTAAATTACTTGTGTTTTTAGACTGCTGTCTTCTGACTCCTGACACTGTCTAATCCATCCTGGAACAGGTTTTGCCTCCTCTTGTCATCCTCGGGATCTCAGAGACCAACTTTCTTACATCTTGCAGAACCACATCTGCATCCTACTCACTTTGAACCTGAAGATGGAGTCAGCATGTTCTCCCAAAATGTTAGTATCCACTTACAAGATACACGTATCACAGCGAAGAAAAAGACTAGAGCATGTGCGCTCAACAATGCGAAAGCTTGAAGGGTTACAGTTGTGTCTTACTTACTTACTTATGGAGCGGCCTCCGTAGTCTAGAGGTAACGTTCCCACCTCATGACTCATCGTATGCGGGTTCAAATACCTGGCGGAGGTCGTCAAATTTTTAAGGGCCTAAAAATTCAGGGAACAAGTCCTCCGGGAGGGACTTTAAGCCGTGGGTCCCGTGTCGTAGCTTTACGGCACGTAAAAGAGCCTCATATCTCCAAAGGAGGTCACTGAGTCAAATTACGGACATTTCCCGCCCAACAGCAGTCTCTAATACCTCTGGTAGATGGGGGAAGCATTATAGATACCTCTCAGCTAGTAGAGCCGGTCTCGCTGGCTGGGCGGGACTGATGGTAAGCACCAGTACCGGTAGGATATAGAGACTGGTAGAAATCATAGAGGGAAGCACAATGGACCAATACAGGTCTAAGTGCAGGGGGAAACCCACCCTCTCCAATAACTAACTACTTACTTATGGAGCTGAGCCCTTCTGGAGGAGCTGCCAATTCTGCAGCTACTCAAGAATTTCCCAGCATTTTATGGAACCCAAAGGTTCATTACTGTGTTCCTGAGCCAGATCAATCCAATCCATACCATACCATCCCATCCTATCTCTCTAAGATCCATTATAGTTGTGTCTTGTGTCACTAAATAGAGGCTTGCACAGAAATCTGTTACTTTACAATTCAAGGTAAGTATCTTTGGATTTTATGTTTTCAAGATATCTCCAAATTAAAACAAGAAACTATACACACAAGTAATGGTACTTCTGTCTATACAATGACACTAGCAAGAACTACAAATTAATAATTATAAAATCACTCTATAATAATATAGTATGCAGGGTTATAATTAGCGGCTGACCCAAGTTAACTCTGAAAGTTACAACCATGTTATCTGTCAAATCAGTGCTGCCAACAGCAGAAGTACTTATATAGTAGCAGGTGACCCAAAGAAAAATACTGATACCACAAAAGTTTATTTGTAAAAACAAAATCCAAAGCCTGACCTTAGAAGGGTTGTAAGGTCAGGTAAGGTACTGTTGTCCTTGTGCCCAACGAATTAAGCACTACGTCATGAAGGCGTAGAGGGGAGTGGATGTATAGATCCACATTTTCTTGCCCTCAGCACTAGTTGGAGGTGAGTGGTCAGCTTCACGCACCGAGCACTTTATCCCCGGAAAAAGCCCCTGGTACCCAATGGATAGGAGGTTGGGTGGACTCCAGAGCCAGTCTGGATGATTTGGAGAAGAGAAAATTCTTGACCCTACCAGGACTTGAACTCCGACCTCTTTGTCGTCCAGCCCACAGCCAGTTGCTATACCAACTACGCTACCTAAGCTCCCCTTAGAAGGGTAATAGATATTTATTTTTAAAAACAAAGACAAAAGCCTAATCTTGTGGACTTGTTGCTGTGGGCAAATTCTAAGTTAGGCTTTGTATTTTTATACATAAATTCATAAGGTTTTCAGCACTAACAAGAGGGAGGACAACATGGTGGCATACTTCAAAATTATTTGTATCACCTGATAGTACATAAGTACCATAAAATTTTGTGATACAAATCTGTGTTTAATTTCCATTGGCACAGATTCACAATGTTACATTTCCCTTGATAACACCAAAGCTTCTCACTGGTGCTGTGTTTGTAACTGTAAGCATGTAAGCAAACTGTTTCATACAGAATCTGTAGAATTTCTGGTTCCTGGATTTTGTCCATTACCTAGTATTTCAAGCAAGACATGTCACAAAAACTGGATCTCTTTCAAACATACCACATTCTGGGACATAATGCCATGTAATCAGGTACAAGTTCACCAACAATTTGGAAGAACATCCTCCATCCTCTGGTTATGCTCGACACCTGCTTAGCTTACTCTTTGATCCTGAAGATGGAGACAGTATGTTTCTCCGAAACGACAATGAACTTCTACTGGACTATATGGAATTACGTTCCAGAGGAGAGCACTCTTCATATTCACGGTTGTCAGAACCTGAAACCCATCATGGATCTCTTCCAGTCCCCACATGAAAAGGTGGGAACACATGTATTCGGTTGGGTCCATTGAATATATAAATGCAAACTACATAATTAAAGCAATCTCAGCTTACCATAACACAAAAACTTAAACAGACCACACCAAAAGTGATCTAATTGTGTCAGGATGTTCTGCAATTTATGACATTAAATATTTTATAGCGATAACTCGTATAAATACACTGAAAGACTGGGTACATTTGTGAGTAGATACGTGCTTGCGAACACTATCTTTAAGGCACAGTTTAGCGGGCAATGATAATGGTCTCTTTGAAGGATATTATCAATTTTCCCATCTACTGGGTTTCCAAATTTCCAACATTTACGTGAAATAAATCTTGTTATCAAACAAGCCAATATAAAACAAAAATGCTCCCAGAAACTGGTTTATATAAAATATTTCTTTTTTGAAGTGGGAAAATTTAAGAGAAAATAGTTACCAGCAGCTTTGCACTTCAATATAGCTCTCGCTTCAGACTTCATTCTTTCTTTCGTTAGACGATTATCCAAATCAACATGCCGATAACTTTTCTTAAATCGCTCCTTTACGATAGTTGGCCGTCCTAAATAAATTCCTTTATACAATTTAGCTTCAGCACCTTGTTTAATTAATTTGAAATTACTTCCTAAACCTCCAACCTTAACACAATCGTCGGCCATGGTTATACGTAATTACCGGCAGAACCAAATACATAACATGAAATTTCCCCAGAACAATAAATGAAACCTGGCAAGTTTGAAATACAAAACTCAAATAAAAACTTTCATTACACAGTTCTGTGTACACACTGTGAAAATTACACTAGTAGTTCTTTTCAATCCCATCGAGGATACTCTGATGAGATATGACATAATGCCTTACGATAGTAATAAATTTCTATGACAAATTAAATAGAATGGATTTCTGTGTAGGCAATTTGTAATACTTAAAAATTTGGAGTTTATTCAAAAAATACATATTTCAAATCAAATATTGATCTTCGAATTTTCATTCCATACATGTGACAATAAAACCTCCAGTAGACAAAACTGTCTTCATATTTTTATCCAAGGTCTGATTCTATAAAGGTTATAATTAAAAAATAACTAGTTTCTTTATAGCAGACCATGCCCAGGTCAGCAGCAACTATAGAACCTAACATATGGGGTGTATCACAACTGATAGGTAAGTGCAGTTCTGAAATTATTCTAGTTTATTGTACACAAGTAATGAGGTACCTCAGACAATGACGCTGGTCACAGAATGAACAATAGGTTTGAGTCCCAGCAGAGAAAGTGTAAAATATTCCTATTCATCATCTTATCCATAAGAAGCTAGGAGACTTCAATCAGTATAGCGACTAGGTTACAGGTTGGGCAACCGAGGATCTAGAGTTCAATTCTCAGCAGGAAAAAGAAGCATTTCTCTTCTCCACAGAATCCAGACTGGGTCTGAGGCCGACCCAGTCTCCTATCTAGTATCCTATCCCCTATCCCCTATCTAGGGGCTTTTGCCCAAGATAAAATGAACGGTGTGTGAAACTGACCATTCACCTCCATCAATTGTCAAGTTTAAGAAAGCCTGGAACAATACCTCCACTTCTCCATATGCATGAGTATTCATCCTAATTAAGCACAAAGATAACTTTACCTTATTCCACAAAGGCTCTGGTACCACTTGGCTATCTCCAGAGAGAGAGGGGGGGGGACTACTCAGGAAGTGTTTATCAAAATATGCTACTGTATTCAGTAAAACCCTCCATTATAAGAGGGGAAAACTATTCCTGTAACAGGCCATGTAGGCCCATAGATTATGAAACATTGAAGCTCCCATATTTTATAGACAATCGGTTCACAGATGGTGGTGAGGTTGTCAGCCTTATACGCCAGCCGCCATTTACCCCCAGGAACATTCCTAGTACTCATTTCCATTAGAGGCTGAGTCAAGCCCAGGGCCATAGTTTGGCTGGAAGGATTAGGTCAATTAAAAATCCAGCGACCTGATTGGGAATCGAACTCGCGTCCTTTCAGCTTGTAGCATGGTGCCTCAACCATGCTACCACGGGCCCCCCTTCATTATGATCATATTCTAAAATAATCATGGTGCATTTTGGATATTACCTCTGCAGAGTAACTTGTAGATAGAAAAAGTCAGGACTGGAAATGGGGGTAGACATCATTTAGTTAGTTCTAGAGCAATTCATTTTGACAAAGCCATTTCTGGTGCCTTAAGATATCATAAGCATCATTCTCAATAGGTACATACAGGAAGATATTCAAGAATATACAATGTAATGATTTTCTTTTAATATATGTTGGTTATTCCTCCAGACTTTGCAGTTAATCTGGAGTGTCTATCTAGTTCTAAATTACAACATCTACATAGTTTCTAACTGGATAATCTACCTAGTTCTGAACTAGAATACCCATCTAGTCTTAAAAAGTAATTTCCACCCCTGGCTGAAACAGATCAAATAACACAAAACCAGACTCACAATTATGTACAGTGGAACCTGTATTTAATGTTCCTTGACTTACAGGTTTCTCTTATTTATAACTTGATTACAGTGATTCCAAGTCAATAATCTCATTTTTATTTCTTCCATTTAAGATTTTTCTTAGTTTGATGGCCCCAGAAGAAACCTTAAATGGGGGTTTCCTTCCATTTAATCAATCTTCTGCAATTTCCTGGTTCATAGAAGCCAGCAAACACAGAGAATATTTTGAAATAATTAGGAAAGCTCTAACCATCATAAAGTATTGAATTACAATTCCTTTGTACCTTTCCTAAAGTCCAGGATTTATAATTTATTTTTATGTAAAAGTAATTCTTACATATGTAAGACAAAGGCTTGTTCTTCTGTTGTTACATAGCAGTCACTGTTGTTAGCAGTAAGATAGAGATGAAAAATGGAATCAATAAATGACAAGCAGAGGTACCTGTTCTTTGGTCAGTCTTTGCTGAATACCTCCATAACAAGCAACATGCATATTCTAGTATGCTGTCCTTCCGGAACATTTTACCCTACATAATAACATCATTTCTTCTATCAAGCTGCCTTTGCAGAACATTTCTTCTTTCTAGCTTGCATGTTCAGTGATACTGCTCTTTCAGTGCCCCTCAAGGCTAAGGATGTGTAAGAATGAATCAATGGAAGGGTTGTATACAGAAACCACAGGTAAAGATGGGCAATGTCAAATTATCTTGTTGAAATTTCAGTGGCCTTAATACCAGTTGATTATAATGATCTGTAGCTGGACGTTTCTCTTGCTGAGCTATAAGCCCTGGTGGTTGAAAGAAGCTTAGTTTGGAGTTTCAGTGGTGCTGCTATTGGTGTTGGTTGTGGTAACAGAGCTGGTCTCACCCTGTGGCTTGGTCTCATCGATATTGAGCCATGGGAGTCTCTTCTGTAGCTCCAACCTGTCAAGCAAATTTAGCTGGAGACTTGTTAGATACAGGAAGACACGAGTATTCAGCAAGAAACTAAACCAGTGGAACCTCATCATAAAGGGATATGGACTGAAAACAAATATGTAAAATAGGGACTGTGAGATTTCAAGGAACATAGACAAAAATGTCATAATAGAAGCTAATGACAGTGTGGAAACAGGTAGACACATTTATTTATTTATTTATTTGGGAAGTGAAATAAATTGAGAGGAGATAATCAATGGAGATATCAATAGAAGAGCAGCCCATCCCTTGACAGGATCAGTACTGCTATGTGGTAAACTTCCAGCACATCAGGCAGTGGAATTGGCAGTCATGGTTAAGATCTTCAATGATGGCAACTAATGACATTAACCTTAAAAATTATTAAAACATTTTAGGGTTATTAAGAATAATTAAAATAATTAAGTTGGCTTACCTGTATCTAGGGTGACTGATAGCATATACATACGGGTCTAGGCAGGCAACAAATTTGCAACTTAATGCTGGGATCATACTGACGCTAGGCGTAAGAAGATCCCTGGAACATACGTATAAAACAGAGATTGCATATAAACAGCTTCTGGACATCCAATCACAGAAAACTTAAGTGGGGAGAACAAATTTCTTTCAGTAAAATGATCTCTTGTAAGATTTCTGGAAGTAAGCCAGAAAGCAGAAGAGAAGTGGGAAGACCCAGATTGAGATGTCTGAAAGTTGCAGAGAATGATTTATGAGAGCTGAAACTGAAGATATGAAGGTAAAAGGCAAATAACAAAGAAGAATGGGCATCTACTGTGAAGGAGACCAAGGTTCTTAGAGGACCAAAGAGTCAAGGAGTTAGTAAGAAAAAGTTTTCTTCTGTAAGACGTGCATATTCTCAGGGGCACAGTCCTAAGAATGAAGATGCCTCTATGGTCTGTCATGCAGCCCCAGGTTGGAGAGTATAAATTATACTGGCTCTCCTGAATAAGGCTCTTTTTGGTATTCCACAGTCCCTCAAGACAACTGCTAGGTAGTGCCTTGATTTAGCCACAAACACTTCCTTCAAGCAATTCAACATTATGTAGTCTGGATACTGAAAACATAATAATCACAAAAGAAATTCACGTAAGAAAAGTTAAGTCAATGAAACAATTTCTCTTTGAAAATCTCTATGATGAAATAACATTTGTTTTTGTTCCATGTGTTTCTAAAAAATAGTTAACTAGAAGATGAATAATTTAAACTGTTTTCACGGAATACTATTAACTGATCAAATTAAAGAGGATGACATGGATGAGACATGTAGCATGCATGGACGAGATGAGGAATACATACAGAATTTTGGTCAGAAAACGTGAAAGACAGGAACAACTTAGGAGACCGAGTCATAGTTAAGAGGATAATATTCAAATGGGTCTTAAAGAAACAGGATGTCAGGATGTGGACTGCATTCATCTAGCTCAGTGCAGAGATGAATGGTATGTTCCTGTGAAAATGATAATGAAATTTTGTGCCCCTAAAAATGTGGAAAATTTGTTGAGTAGCTTTGTGACTGTTCTCTTCTCAAGTGTACACTGCTGCATGGGTTGGTAAATGAATCTCTGAGGCTTCATCTGTTATTATTCAGTGCTGTTCATAAAAATGCAAGAACGAGGACATTACCATCGGAATCAATGTGAGTAAAAGTGGGTAAGTTGAGTAAAATTAAGAGAAATCAATAATTTGCAAGTTTACAGATATTTACTACAATATAAAATCATTATACTGCAAGAATTGTAAAGTTCCACTTGATTTTTGCTGTAATATTTCAATGTACATAAAGAAGAAATAAAGAGTTTTGTAACAGCTGTGTATTATATCATTACATACTGGTTTCCAAAAGCTCCAATTAGGGCCATCACAGCATATGGTGTCCAAGATGCAACGAACAGGAAGCAAATGCTAATGGCAGCTTTAGAGATGCGGATTTCATCTGTCATCTGGTTCTGCTGCTGATTGCTGCGCAGCGACTCAACATTCATCTTCTTAGCCTGCCATAAAAAGGGGGGGGGGATGGGATTTACACTACTTATCCAGAATTAGGAAAAGTACAGATAAATTACTACCTGTTATGGACATATGCTGTTGTCATTCCTCAAAATGGGGAGACAGCCTTCTTACAAATGTCAAGTCTCTATAAAAATATAACTTTTATGTTTCCTGTTTCCTATTGCAGAAAAAAGATAGAATATGCAAACATTATGAAATTTACTTTGTACTCTTTCCAATGAAGATACTGGACAGGAACTAAATACATTCAATCTATATGGAAACAAAACAAACTATTAGGAAGAGATAATCTAAATCTTTCTAAGGGGTCCAACTGAGTAGGTGTCTTCTCCACCCTTTCACCTGAGATGGAAACAGATCCAGTTTCCAAAACATCATATTTTCTGTTCTCTAGAATACCAGATGATGGAAAAGTCACAGTAATTCCACGTGTTATGCACCATCATCTGAACCCTATAGAATATACATCTTAAGAATATCAACTGAACAAATTCCTCAGAAGCTGGTTGATTATCACCTGGAAGGAAAAAGGGAAAGAGCCTGGCAATTGAACAGATGGAAGGTAAGTTCAACTAACGCTGGGACTGGAACAGGCCAAAAGGACCAGTCCTTGTAAATGATGACTATGACAATGACTCTTACCAATATGTCCGGAGGCCATGACTGTTCCAGCAATGTGCAAATACTGCTGCAGAGTTTTTGGATGTGATTTGAATCTCATTCCAAATCACATTTTTAATTACACGAGTAAAATTTAGTTTATTGATTTGAATGTTATTCCTCTTCTGAAGTTTTAGCCATTATACAGCGTGCTGCTAACAAGGAAAGTAGACACATCCTGGGTGAGGAACATGTACTGCTGTTTGCCATCCTTCCAGGCTCATCACTGGCCCCTATCCTGAACTGTGTGTACTAACTCCACATCATTCCGTCCCATTTCCTTGAGAACAAAACTAACTATATACCTTCCTCACTCTGTTACCAGGAAAGTGCCAAGTCAAAGATGAAAACCCGAACTTAAAGCCTCAGAATCTGATAATGTGCTACCTGGTTAGGGCTATTGCACACCTCAGAGGATGGTGATAGATGGATATGGAGCAATGGCAGAATGATGATTGTCATGGAGAAACCGACTACACTGAGAGAGAAACCTGCTCTTGTCACTTGGGGCTGAAAAGGCCTAACAGTAAGGGGCAGTATCTAACCACCTAAGTGTGCAGTCTGTCTTAAGATCTAGGAAGTGTGCTTTTTCATTTGCAGTTGAAATTTTATAAATTTCAGGGGGGGGGGTAAAGAAGGTCAAATTATCAACCGAGCAACATACCTGCTCTCGCAACGTCTTCTCATGGTTAACCACATGACTAACGATCTGTGAGTAGAAATAGATGATGAGACTCATTGGCAGGGCATATGAGAAGATGAAGATTGTTACCACAAAGAACTGGTTCTCAGGTGTCGTCGTCAAGTAATCGAACGAGCAGCTCGTTAGGAAGCCCTCTGTAACAGCAAAGTGTGAATGACACTACTCTGTCTAAAACATCTTTGAGGGTGAGTTGTATCTTCAGTATGCAACTTTCTGGAAGAGAAATGTTCAACAAGATCTCCGGTACAGTGATTTTTATTCACACTGTATGTTGGAAGCAGAATACACTAAGTTTTTCATGATGACAAAAACATCTACACTACTATCTGATGGTGACGCACCTTCAGAGATATTTCAAGCATGAGATACTTATCGCCACTGGTCAAAACACCTGTATAAGATTCACTGAAAAACTCAAAATCTCAGATGTTGTACAGAACCTTCACCATGGGTATATCATTTCTGTTATCTGATAAGAATTTTAATTTTCATCTGGGGATTTTTCACAGATGTAAAAGTAGCCCAATCAAACAATCAACCAATCAATCAATTGATTAACAACAACAATTATAATAATTTTACCATAGCATATTAAATCCACAGAGTCAACATCTAGTTACTTTTTACATGTTAGTGGCTGGCAATCATCTGGATTAGTTCCAGACTTCTACATTTGTGTTCAAGTTCACTGATAACATTGTAAGTGTATGCACCACTAACTGCCCATATTGCTACTTACTGGCTGTCTAAAAAATCTGTAACTTCAATTTCCCATCATATTTTATATGTAGTATTATACAGCCTGTTGTTTCAAACACAGAGGTATCTACACACACCTATAATACCACCTCTTATCACTTTCCCGGTGGCTGAGGCTTAATGTGACAGCTTCAAGAACCTCACCTGGTACGAACCGTCCCCAGACCTCCAACAATGGCATAATGGCCCAAGGCAAAGTATATGCCCACACAAATATCAGCATGACAAGTGCACGTCCCTTTGTCACTCTGCCATCAAATGGTCTTGCGATCGTCCTGAAACAGCAGGACTTAACTGATTAAGTATCTAAGTATCACAGTTATTGCAAATATCTTAGCACAAATGAATTTTACGTTCTAATGGCTGTGATTGCCATGTAGCATAGTAGATTGTTACCAGCATTTTAGAGGAAACTGCTGCCTCCTTCTTCAGGGTACAGAAGTGATGTTTTATCATAATACATGACCTCACATCCCACAGTCAGAACCTTACTTCATCAGAGATTATAAAGACATCAGCTTACGTATATCGGTCATAAGCAATGCAGGCATTAGTTAGCGCAGCACCAATGCCTGAACAGGATCCAATGAATGCAAAGATCTGGCAAGCCAAGTGTCCTGCAGAAAATCCCTTATTGAACGAATTGTAGATGAAGATGGGTGCCTTGGTCATCATCAGGAAGTCCAGTATTGCCAGATTTACCACAAACATGTTCGAGGGGGTCCGAAGTGTCTTTGTTCTGTAGAGAAAACGGTGTTCAAAAATGAAACTAGAAATACCAGAATATGTACTGTTTCATCATTCACTGTCATGTAGTGTTTCTATATAAAATTTTAAGGCTGTCTGTGATGCTCAAGGGAAGTCCCTAACAGAAAGCTGTGGTTGTAGTCATGGGACTGGTTGTCAAGCAGCGCTTCAGCTTCAGTTGTTGATAGTGTGCATATTCAGTGGAACTGTGACATAATTAATATCACAGTGGATCAGTGGAGATTTTATCTGAGTTCCTTATACTGTAACCAGTGAAGTGCGGGGGGACAGACAAACCCCCAAACTTAAAAGACTTTGGAACTGACGATGTGCTACCTGCTCAGTGGGGGGGGNGGGGGGGGGGTAGATGAGTATGGAATAAGGGTGGAATGATGATTAGTTGGGCAAAACCCAAGAAATTTGGAGAAAAACCTGCTCCAGTTTCAATTCATGTACCACAAATCCCCCATGACATCACCAGAGACTGAACCCAAGGCTGAGCACCTAGCAAGTTTAGTTATGGCATGCCCATACCTTTCAATTAATAGGAAGTTAATTATAATTTTATTAATTTCTGATTACTGAGCTCAAAGAAATAATCTCATTTGTAAAATGAGAAGTTATTTTATGATGCTTTCCATCTATAGATGAAAGCTCGGAAGTTTTTATTCTGCTGTTGTATGAATGGTATCAAGAAAACTGATGTACACGATAATGTAATTTATTTATGATATTGCCCTCACGTAGTGAAAATCCAAATGACAAGTCCATTGCCAGTAAGAGCAGCAACCCAGAAGAAACAATACACGAGTCCAAGCGAGTAGTGCATCATAGGATCCACCTCAGAGAATTTCAGCCAGTGTGACGGGATGTGGACCAACTCATCAGCAGGCACATTCCACCCCATTAATCGTGGTGCCTCCCTGAAATATGACAATAAGCAGTGACCTCAAGCAACTGCATTTCTATACTTAACATAAGACACACATCAAAATACTACAACAGACAGTAAAAACACATTGAGTGTTAGGCTGCAATGAACTCTTGTCTCCCAACAAAATAAAAAATAGAGATTGGCCCATATTAAACGGGATCAATTCTGAAATATGAAGCGAAGTCTTTTCTGGACAAGTAGTAGTAATTAAATGCACCATTGAATGTCACAGTTCAAGGGCCAGTCTAGGCTTACCCCTTATTCATTCATTCATTCAATTATATGCACCATCTGCTTTAAAATTAGAAAATTCCTTTTCCTTCACAGTGTGCTTATGTGTGTTATATGATTAGCACAATAAACAGCAATAATTTCCTTACACCATATTAAAAATTTGTCTTTGCAACGGAGATGGAGTGTTCCTTGAGAGGTAAGAACTGAATTTTTACCTATTATTTATATGAACTTAAGGCTTCAGCGGGGTTAAGATCCTGTGGAAAATAGATTATGGTGTTCTGATTTTGACACCGTACAGTCTTGCAGGTGAGGCCACGATTCTGGAGAGATATGCTTTCTAATCTGTAAAGTAAAACTGAGAAAGATTTTTTAGGTTATTTAATTACTTTTCAATTGGCCTAATCCTTCTGGCTGCACTAGGTTCTGGGGTTTACTCAGCCTCTAACAGAAATGAGTACAAGGAATTAACTAAATAATTTTCCTGGGGAGTGAAGCGCGGCCGGCGCGTAAGGGTGACAACCTTACCGCCATCTTTGAGCCGATTGTCTAGATAATGTGGTACCCTCAACGTCTCACAACCCTATGGGCTTTCACGGCTTGTTAGAGGGATAGCTTTACTTTACTTTTTAATGACTCGTTTAGTGTCAAGACACTTCACACCTACTGAATAAAATCTAGACTTCTCCCTCTAAACCAGCCTGTTTACTCTAAGCAAGAAAGATGTATTAGATTACATATACAGTTGCAAAGAAAGTACCAACCCACATTGGAAAGAGTAGATAAAACCCTGTCGAGGCCAATAGGAACTGTTAACAGAAAATATGAGGAAAATGGTTCTTCTCAGAACCATTACAGGAGGGATATGTTGCTCTGAAACACTAATATCCACCTACAGTAATGCACAGTGTCACAAACCAGAACACAGAAGAGTCACCACTGTGAAAACCTTAAATCCCATTTACTTGGAATACATATGTAGACAGATATATACTGCAAAACTTTCTTTTAATTCCTTGTGTGATTGAATTCTCACCTGGCCTGAGGTTGCCAGATGGAGTAGTTTGAATCATAATTGTCTTGGAGCTCCATCCTGAAGGGCAGTGAGGGGCTGGGCCAGGAATCACTACAATTATATATACATATATGTGAGTCTAATCCAATTAGACTCTGTGTCAGCAGATATCAGTAATCAATCCCATCCAACAGTGGGATTAGTCCCATTCCTACAGATGAAGCCATGTCAGTGTTGTGGTACAACACAGGGGCTAATCAGAAGAATGCACTTTATTTATTTGTATTTGCAATTACACAGTAATGGGTGTACCAAACAACTTGCAACTCTACCACCAAGCTACCTGCCATGTCAGCACTGCCAACCATATAAATTTATTTTTAAAAACAAAATCAAAAGTGTAAACTTGTGAACTTGTTGTTGGAGGCAAACTATAATGTTAATTTCTAAGTATCTTTTTGCTTATTGTTCATCTGAAGGTTAGTGACATCATGAAGTCGAGTAAATATGTAACAGTGTTCTGAAAGAAGCTGCGACCTTTATCTTTAGAGTACACTGAAGACATTAATCACAGTGAGGATATTGGTACAAATGGTAATGCTTCTGACTTGTATTCAGGAAGTACATGGTTTGGATCTCAGCCAGGGCCCTGACTATTCTGAGGCTTTTCATGGCTTTACTCAGTCCCATTAGGCAAATGTTTGGACAGTACCTTCAATTATGTCATGATTCTTTCCTTCCACATCCCTCCAACTCGTTATTTACTACCATCCAATCATCTGATGCTATGTAGTCTTAGTTACTGACTAACTAACTTCATGGAGCTGAACCCTTCTTGAGAAGCCGCCAGTTATGCAGTTACTCAAGAACTAACCAACATGTTATTGAACCCAAAGGTTCATTACTGTGTTCACAAGAGCCCTCCACTGGTCCCTGTCCTGAGCCAGATCGATCCAGTCCATACCACCCTATCCTATCTCTCTAAAATTAATTTTAATAGTACTTACCCAACTATGTCTTGGTCTTCCTAGTGGGCTCTTTCTTCTGGCTTTCCCACCAGAATCCTATATGCAGTCCTCTTCCCCCATTTGTGCTTCATGTCTGCCCATCTCATCCTCCTTGACTTGATCATTCTAATTATATTTGGTGAAGAGCACAAGTTATGAAGCTCCTCATTATGCAGTTTTCTCCAGTTTCCCATCACTTCATCTTTCTTTGGTCCAAATATTCTCCTCAGCGCCCTGTTCTCAAACACCCTCGGCCTATGTTCCTCCCTTAACGTAAGAGATCTAGTTTCACTCCAATACAAAACTGTCTGTGTGAATGATTTACATGTAAAGCTTTCCATTCTTAGTGTTTATGTGAAAATTTCTCTTATATAATCAAACGAATATGGGTATGCAAAAGTCTCATTTTGTCATTCTACAGTGGGCTATCAATTGCAGAACTGGGGGGGGGGGAAGCAGATATGAATAATGGGATCATATTAGATGTCCCACCAACATAACATGATTAAATGACACATAGCAAATCCACAAAACTACTAGATTTGAGAAAATTCAAACATATTTAAAATGAAAAATGCCAGTGTTCCATTGATGGTATGTTCTTACAAATCACAAAGCAATCACACTGAGCTGTGATAGCTGTCAGTATAGTGACTGGGTACAGGATGAATGATTAGGGTTCGACTCCCAACAGGAATCATTCTCTTTGCCACCACCTTAGGGCTAGAATCTGAGGTCCACCCAGTATTCCATCCAGTTGATACTAGGGATAAAGTGGCTGGAGCGTGAAACTGCCTACTCATCTCCATCTAGTGCCGTGGCTACGAATGCGATCAGCTATACAGCCGTGTCTTCCTACTTCGAGTTGTGGTGGTTAATTAAGCACAGAAACAACTTTAATTTACTAAAGAAACTGCTAATACTTTAATGTATTTCTCCTCCCATTATTCCTCGGTGTTCCATTAAAAGCTGCCAACATACTATAATTTTGGAAATGATGAAATTTATGGATTAGAACATATGTTGGTAGGGTTGGTAGGCACCTGTATGGCGGGAATATACATATGATAAGTGTATTTTATTATTTTCGTCTTAATATCTTTCCGTATGTGTATGAAGTAACACGATATTTTAAAATGAGTGTGATTTAAATTAAAGTGTATATATCCCCCTACTGAATATAAGACATCTGAAATTAGTTTGTAAACTATAATAATATTATCACGTCTTTCTGTTAAAAAAAGCTACTGCGATAAAAATTGAGTTTAAGTGTTCTGACGCTAAGGGAAACCGTTTTAGTGGACGTTTTAAGAAGAAATGCCGATTTCCTGGACGAATTTGGGAGTATCATTGATTCTTGTAATAGTTATTCCAGAGATTGTGTTGTATTACAGGAACCGATTTAAAAAACGTTCTGAAACAAGTTCAGATCATATGAATGAGGTTATGTTTTTTACAGATAAAGGATTAGATTGTAAAGAACATGTCTACAGCAGGTTAACCTGCTTGAAAGAATCTTGCGCCTATCGTAATTTGAGGTATAATATTTAAAAAGTTGTAGATTTCTTTCAATTATTCAGTGTTTTCTCCATGGCTGTTGCTTTTATATAGAAATGTATGTATGTATGCTAAAGGGTTCTGTGTACGGTTTTGTAAACTTACACATCTATGAATTTAATTCAGTTTTTATTTTGTAGACGTCTTATTCAACTGGTGGAAGAAGCTACATCATCTTTAGACATTTGTATGTTCTTCTTCACTTGCCAAGACTTATCGGAAGCTATTATTAGCGTGCATAGGAAAGGTGTCAGAGTGAGAGTTATAACTGATGCTGAAATGGCAGATGGCCGTGGAACCCAAATACCTGAGCTCAGGAAATATGGTAAGAAACAACTTTAAACAGTGAATGTCATTTTGAATGCACACACAGGACAGAGTGCAGGAGAAAGATGTTTTCTTCTTCATGATAAAAACCCTCATATATCAGATTTTTATACAAGTTAGTTGGCACAAGTTTGTATCACTATTTCTTTGTATCTGAGAGGTCTCGGGTCAAACTCATGGCTATCAAGAGTTATGGTCTTCCTTAGCCCCTCAGGCAAATGCTCAGATCATATTTCAGTTTAGTCCACGAAAGTTTTCTTCTTTCTAATTTGTCTCTTCGGTATTAACTGATAAACTTACCACTTGACGTTGTACAGTACTTACATATTAATGGATGGCCCATGTAACTTTAAAAGTTATTTGTAAAAACAAACCCTATATTATTCTGTCCCATTCAAGATGACAACCTCTGTAGTTAATTCAGCATTATTAAATATCCAATGGGTACAAATAGCACAGAACATCATGACCTGTCTGATACATTTAGTCTGTAACTAAATTAAGTTTTCTCTTTGAGTAGTATACCCCTTGAAGTCAAGATTTCAGTTGTCTGGGATGCAACATTGTGTGGTTTGGTAGGTAGGTAGGTAGGTTCATTAAAGTTCACTATTTCTCATTCTTATTCATTCTGTATACATGTATGCCAGCATGATTGATTTTATTTCAGGAGTACCAGTGCGCATGAAGAAGTCTGTTTCTCTGATGCATCACAAATTTATCATAATCAATAATCACATGCTTGTAAGTGGTTCCTGCAATTGGACAATGAAAGCATTTACAGAAAACTGGGAAAACATTTTAGTGACTTCAGTGCCAAATCTTGTTATGCCTTTCAGTCATCATTTCTCCCAGCTGTGGAAAGAATTTTCAGAACTTGATTACAAATTTCAAGTTTAATCTGAAGGACTGTATTTATATACGATTTCATGGTATCTCACTGCAGTGACTATGAAGGTTATTGTCTTCTGGCAGGTGACACTATACAGTCTGGTAGATTATTACCAACATTTCAGAGCAATCGGCTGCCTTCCATTTTCTATCCTGAAACACTGGCACTTAAACACAGCTTGGTATCACCAAATGGGTCTGTGTAGCAGTAATGCTCTAGGCCAGTGGTTCTCAACCTTTGTGAGGTTGCGGCCCAGTAAATTCTTTTTTTATATAAGACAAGGGCCAGGCGGTTGACAAACACTGCTCTGTGCTTATGTTTGAGAGGCACTTGGTTTGAATCTCGGTCAGGAGACCGGCTATCCTGATGCAGCTCTTTTGTGGTCTTCCTCAGTCCCTCCAGGCAGGTGCTGAGCCATGAATGCTTCCGTCCAAATCCCCTCTAGTTCATTCACTAGTCCTGCCATTAAGAGAGTTCTGCCTTTTGGGATATAATGCCGCGTAGTCTGTTGAAAGTCCTCCGTTGTTTTGGAGGAATATGTCAGCTCGAAAATATTGGTTGACTTTCAACTGACAACATGGCATTGTATCCCAGAAGTTGTAACTTCTCATAATTACTGCTGTGACAACCCAAATCCTACTTCCCGTCATTCAGCAAAGGGAACACACGGTAGCATAGTTGGTTGAGGCATTATGCTACAAGCCAGAAGGTCACAGGTTTGATTCCTGATGAGGTCATTGGATTTTTTCAATTTACCTAATCCTTCCAGCTGCACTATGGCCCTGGGGTTGGCACGGCCTCTAACAGAAATGAGTACGAGGAGTCTTCCAAGGGATAAAGGGCAGCCGGTGCATAAGGCTGACAACCTCACCACCACTGCGAGTTGACTGTCTAGAAAATGTGGGAGCCTAGACGTCTCACAACCCTGTGGGCCTTCACAGCCTGTTACAGGGATAGCTTTACCCTTTATCATTCAGCAGTAAATAGATTAACGGCTTCACATCCTAAAGGTGTTCTGATGATTGAGGCAGTTTCCACTGAAATGCTGGCAACATTCTACATAGCTTCACATCACAGAAGATGGTAAACTTTAGTGTGTTTTGTACTTACAAAATTCTTAGAATTGGACAGTTTTTTAGAGCAGTCTTCTTGGATGTGGCGCCATGTAGACATTGTGTTAACCGTCGTTTCGGAGCAACGTATCGCCTCCATCTTCAGGGTAGAAAAAATCCGCAAGTGAAGAACCAGTGTGAGCAAGTGCAAATAGACTGATGTTGAGAATAAACCCGGCTGCACCTGCTCACACTGGTTCTTCGCTTATGGATTTCTTTTTTCTTCTACCCTGAAGACGGAGGTGATACGTTTCTCTGAAACGTCGGTTAACACAATACCTACATGGTGCCACATCTCAGAAGACTGCTCTCTTCATAGTCACCGCCGTGCAAGAGCTTCTCATTTGTTGTACAGAGTTGAACTACCATGTGTTGCAGCAGCTGGTTAACATGCACAATTTTGATACAGATTTGCAAACAATTTTAGAAGTCCCTGACCGGATGTGCTGAATTATTTCTGTATTTTTTCTTGTATCTGTGGAGTAATTTAATTTTTGTCGATGATGATGATAATAAAGATTTAAAATTCAGCTACTGAATTTAATCTTCTAAGGATGGATATGCCATGTCTATACGTGTGTAATGTTTCAAACTAACAAGTTTCTTTACTGAATGTAACATTAATCTATGTTAATAGAGGGCCATGCTAATCTTGGGTATGACACTGGACCCCATTCCTCTGAGTATGATCCCTGCTCGATCTGTTGTGAAGATTTTTGTATTGACAGGCAGAAGCCTTAATCTCTCCCAAGGATGAAATTCTGGAAATGTGAAGAATACCAGCCCTAGTTTTCTTTTATGACTGCAGCATAAATCTTAGTTCTGTCAGTTGTCAATGTATAAGAGTAGTGTCTTCTGGGACGTAACACTGTGTAGTCTAGTAGAAGTTCCCCAGTGTTTCAGAGAAACATATACTCCTTGCATCTTCAGGGTGGAACAGTAAGTCAAGCAAGTAACCAGAAAAAAGCATATGGTAAAAGTTCAATGAGGTTCTGGAGCCACCTATCATGGTATTGTCGTGTGTAGGGGGTACTCTTGACGAATAATGGGTTCTAGATCAGACGATTGGATTTACTGGCACTTCAGTTATAATCGCTCTTAATTACAATCAGTACACCGCTATCGCTGATTTACACACTTTACAGTTCACCGTTTCAGAAGCACAAGGATTCTCAGTCTCCACTAGTCGCCTCCTGGTAACAGAATTAAAACAGTCTCACTGTTACTGTATCTTCTAATCACACACTAAGTCTTCATAGGCTGACTTCTAATTCTTCTTCGACTATCTCCTAACGACAACTGAACTGAATTCCCATTCCTGTATTCTCCCATATCCTCTCAGCATGGACCACGCACAGAAAATATAGCTTCCTCAATTGTTCTGTGAATATTCTGTTGGGGGTACCACATGATCGCTACTTAGCCAGTTCATTGGCACGTTGGCTACTGCCTAGCAATAGAAAACACTATTCATACTGTTGTGTGTGTGTGTATTTCAAGTGTGGCCTAGAGATGGATGTTCCTCTATTGCTGTGTGCTCGTGGGTCACAGGGTGTTTACCGAGCCGTTGCCCAGCAATGCTTTGAACAAATCTGTCATAGTATTATATAAGAGTGAGCCAAGGAGGCAATCAGCCAGAAAGAAGTATGTTCCTCCAAAGCATCACTGAACTTGTGCTATCTGCTTGCCCCCTACTTCTTGCTTGTCAGCCCTGAGTATAGATGCAGTATATTTCTCTGAAACGTGAGTCAACTTATATTGGACTACACTGTGTCACTTCCCAGAAGATAGTACTCTTCATAACGACTGCTGTGGTCATCTGTATCTGCTTCAAGACCAGTTTCCCTGTCCAGAAGAATACATGCTTTATTTTTTTCTTCTGTACGGTAAACTCTCGGTTGTCCGATATCCAAGCACCAGAGATTCTCGAAGACCCACCATTCATTATGCAGGTGGCATTACAATCGCAGTGAATGGTGATTGCAGCAGAGACCAGTTGAATTTGTGATGGTGTTACAGTATGTACGAATTCATACACCCATCCCTCCACCATGCCTTCTCACAAGAACTAAAGCAAAAGCATGTTGTTTCGACTTCAAAACAGAAAGTTTAAATATGTGCATGACTGGAAAAGGGTAGAAATTGCATGAAAATTTGGTTTCTGTAAGTTTTTGTTTTGCAACAAACAGATTCATGTAACTGAAATATCCTATTCCTGATACCTGCCAGATAACAGGCAGTTTACTCTATTTATAATCTCACCCAACAAATTAATACTATCAGAGGCAGTGCTTGTGTGCCTGCAAGCACCTCAGTTAAATCAACTTAAAGCACAATAGACAACTGTAGGTTGCGGTGCAAGGGCCGAGAAGGCCCACCCCTTATTCATTCATTTATACGTCAACTTACCATATTGCTATTTCTCACTGAGTTGTGTTCTGTTTCCTTATTTGTTAGATGCCTGTTAAGCTAAGAAAGAAGAAAATTATTGTTAACATTATTTATAATCCCATAAACAATTACACAGAGGAAATAATTATAAATCATCAAATTGTTACAGGGTGATAACACATACAGCAGTTTAGACATGGCTTTTATTAAATATGTATTAACATCATAAAATTTCTTACGAAGGACATGTCTTCATTACAAAACCTTACACTGAATTTGGTCCCATATTTTTATTATACACTAATCTGTTGTATTGGTGAGTGAATTAAGTGTAAATAATGCTATGTGCCAATCCACTGCCCTTGAAAGAAACCTTAAATGGAGTGTTTTCTGCAGGCGTATATCAACGAAACTGACTTCATGATACAGCATGTGATACTTAGACCAGTAAATATATTTCATCTATCTGTATGACCATGGGTTGACAAATATTGACTTGCTTCAACCAGCGAATAAAAATTCTACCCACCAGACAAACTACACTTATCCAGGATACTGCAGTTACTTTGCGTCAGCCCACTGACCATCATATAAGATGCAGGTAGACTGTGAAGGGTTCCGATGGTTCTGTTAGAAAAATGTAACCTCAATCCCCGGAGCAGGGGTCTCCCTCTCATCTGAGGACGGAAACAGATCCAGCTTCCAAAACATCGTGTTCTTTAGAATACCAGACAATGGACAGAGTCCAAAAACCCAGTAATCCTGAATATGAAATGCTGTCCCACAATATTATGTAATGTACACAATATAATTTATGTTCAAATGTACTGTTTGACAATAGTGGATAAATAAGAGAAGAGAGTGGGAAAGAATATTAATGAATAAATTTGAAGATATTTCCATTCATTAGCCTTGATGTTTTATTCATCATGGATATGCTTACTGAGCTCTGCATGAGTCTGTAGATAGTAAAATTGGGTGCACACATGGAATTCTTCGCAGCCCAAAATTATCTTTCATTATTTACACTTATTTCCACATCCCTTTAACAAAACATGAAAAGAGGCTTACATACACATGCTTCATAACAAATTAATATAAGGCACTTCACAGGGTTGATAGAAATAATTCATTCAGACCAAACTGTCCTTACTGCAAAGTATTGCTTTTAGGAACACTTTTTATTTTTCTTTTAAGAATCTAATTTTAATGAAAGGTGGCTACTGTTTTGCGAGTTCTTTATAACAGCAGATGATGTCCTCTCTGTGTCCATTCTGAAGCAGTTGGGTGTGGTGATACTTACATGTTAATAGGCAACCCAAGCAACTGCAAATCGTTGCAGCCATGCTGCCTATCATATTATTGTTGCCAGCCATAGAAATTTACTTGTAAAAATAAGACTTAAAGCTTAACCTTGAAAGGCTTTTAGGTATTTATTTTTAAAAACAAAACCAAAAGCCTGACCTTGTGAACTTTTGGAGGCATATTCTAAGATTATGCTTTTGTTCTTGATCTTTCAAATAACCTTTTAAGGTGGGCAGCACTGATGTGGCAAGACAGCATAGTGGTAAGTAGGTTCTAAAGGGTTCTGATGACGGTGTATAACACACAAAATTACTGGGTGTTTGGACTTTTTCCGTCATCCGGTATTCCAGAAAATAGAAAACATGACGTTTCAGAAACTGGATCTGTTTCCATCCTCAGGTGAGGGGCCCAATTCAGCAGGTGTCTTCCCCCCGCCATCTGAGGACGGAAACAGATCCAGTTTCCGAAACGTCGTGTTTTTATGAGTTATCTTAAAAACCAGGACGATGGATAAAGTCCAAAAACCCAATATATCAGTGTGTTATACACCATCGTCAGAATCCTATAGTAACTACCCAGTAATTCAGCATGGTGGTCCATTTTATAATTACTAGGGTTACCCACTAACATGTTAGTTCTCCTAGAATTTCAATGTATGCAAAGCAATACAATTAGATGTGATAACTTTTCCAAATTTGGGAAACACATATATTGGTCTGTGGAGGGGGGAAAGAAGGGTTTGCAGTGATTTCATTTCAGTTATATTGGTTTTACACCTGTCTCTACCTGAAACCACGTGAGTACTGAAAGTCACTAATGTGTATAAGTGTCTTGCTATGGGGCTGTATAAGGAACATGGATGTACATTTTGATACTGGACAGAGGCGAGTGATTAGCATCTCATCCTGGACACCTTACTCTCTGGGAAAGAGCCATCAGAACTTTGGGCAACACAGCCTGTCTGGATGTGACAGTAATTCTCACAAAAGTTGTTAACCTTTATGATTTTATTAAATTGCTGTGCTTCTAAATGGAAGTATACACTGCCACCTAACAGGTTTATGGTTATGATATGGTGCCATAACATGAGTTGTCAAACCACGGTTATTCTCATAGTTTCCTCCGGGTTGTCAGCGGCTGATTCAGATATAGTTACAGTTGTTGATGTTGTTGTATCAGGAGTTTCTGCAGTTGCTCCTTCAACTATTGTCACAGGTTTCGGCTCTGAAATGTGATGCTGAATAAGACTGCAGGAGAAAGACAAAATGAATTGAATAATTCCAACAAAAATATGATATTATTAAACTGCCTAACAGTTTTAAGGTGGCCAAGTAATTTTATTCATTGGTGTACAAGCACACAATGTTATTCAATTCAATTCAACTTTATTTCATCCATGAATCATTATACAGGGTCTGGCAAATCGACCTCCCGTATTTCAAAAGGCAGTTACAAACAAACAAAGAAAGATACAGAAAAAATACTTTTATTTGTGAACAACAAATACGATGCTATTTTACATTACTTGGTTTTAAAAATTATTTCCGGTAAATGGCGTCCTCCATTGTTCACACATTGACGAAGCCTTTCCCGGAAGTTGTCCACAGTTCTTCGTGTCATTTCAGGTGGAATGGCAGCCACTGCCTGGGTGATTGCCTCCTTAAGTGCTTGCAGGGTTGTGGGGCGATGTTTGTACACTTGCGCCTTTAAGTGTCCCCAAAGAAAAAAATCACAAGGTGATAAATCGGGTGACCTTGGGGGCCAGGCGATGTCTCCTCGCAAAGAGAGAAGACGTCCAGGAAACAACTCTCTCAGAATTGCTAAAGAACGCCGCGAAGTGTGAGCTGTGGCTCCGTCTTGTTGGAACCAGGCTTGTCCCTCTTCATGGTCCCCAACAAACTGGTTTAACTTAGGTCTAGTAGCGATTCGAAGTAACCGTTACCGTTAGCCCATTTTCCTCGAAAAAATAAGGACCCCACACACCAAATTCAGCAACGGCGCACCAAACTGTCACACGAGGGCTGTGAAGTGGTCGTTGGTGAAGTTCCTGAGGGTTTTCTGCTGACCAGTAGCGGAAATTTTGTTTATTTACAGTACCTGACAAGTGGAAGTGGGCCTCATCAGATGAAATCAAAACAGCGCCAGAGGGAATGTTCTGAAGAATGTCCTCACACGCAGCTTTGCGAGTTTCAAAATCTCTCTCACTTAATTCTTGGGTAACCATCATTTTGTATGGGTGCATGTGTAGATTTCTGTGCAGGATTCTTCTTACACTCCTATCAGACAATCCCAGGGCAGCTGCATGTTTAAGTGCTGAACGCTTTGGAGATTGCTGGATGAACGCTCTCACACGCGCCACATTTTCCGGCATTGTTACGGTCCGAGGTCGGCCAGGCGATTTCTTTTTCAGTGCAGAACCTGTTGCTCTAAAGTTTGATACCCAAACGTGAATAGTTTCTCTATCCGGAACAGGATCATGTCGGCCAAGTTCGAACCGAATGCGAAATGCTCGCTGCATAGTAATCACCGATTCACCATTACGAATATACTCTTCCACAACAAACGCACGATGCTCACCATGCCACGCCATTGTGACTACTGCAAATGGCACTTATACCGCTATCCATCGATACCCCCTCCGCCGCCGTATCCCCACCACAACTCACACAGCGCCCTCTCCAAATACGGGAGGTCGATTTGCCGGACCCTGTACATGATATGGGACAAGTCAAAGATTAATATTAATAGAGTTGCCTAACATTGTTAGCGTTGACTATGACAAGTACTGTCTTCTGGGTTGTGATCAAAGTATTTGGTAGAAGTTCAATGAATTATCTTACCTCCGTAAAGGCGATTCTATGGATGTGGGTTTGTCCTCAGGCACGACATCACCTACCCTAGAAAATTCAATATGCATTTTACACTGTCTCTGAGATGGCAAAATCATCTCATACATTCAGACTGTAAGACAGATACAGATGTCAGGGCAGCATTTGCACCAAATAAAATGCATCTCATAAGACATGAAACACCACAACTCTCTGTTAACTGAGTATGAAGGTTCCTAACACCGAACAACACTGGAGATGATCTTGAACCAGTTCCATCTACATCTCACCTTCACAATTCCGTGGTTCTTGGCATTTTGGTGCATGTGGCACAATTGGTATATCCATTTTGTGTTTCATTACAACTAGAATATTTACTTATGGAGCTGAGCCCTTCTTCAGGAGCCACCAATTGTGCAGCCACTAAAGAACTTCCTAGCATTTTATGAAACCCTAAGGTTCATTACAGTGTTCACAAGAGCCCTCCACTGGTCCCTATCCTGAGCCAGATCAATCAAATCCACTCCATCCCATCTTATCCCTCTTAAGATCCATTTTAATATCGTCCACCCACATACGCCTTGGTCTTCCCAGTGGTCTCTTTCCTTCTGGCTTTCCTGCCAATACCCTATATGCATTCCTTGTATCCCCCATTCGTGCTACATGCCCTACCCACCTCATCCCCCTTGACTTGATCATTCTAATTATACTTGGAAAAGAGTACAAGTTACGAAGCTATAAAACTAAAATGTACAATAAAAATATGCATGTTCTATAAATAAGTTCACTTATTACATAAAAATATAAAATTACTGTAAACAGAAAGATGAAGTTTTGTTACAAATATCAACTTAAAATGTTATACAGACACAGTATTTTCTGAACTTTCTATAAAGGTATCCCCTCAAGCTAAGCAGACTGCAAACACTGTCAATATGAATTCATTTGCGGTAATGACTGGGGCGAGGTGCATTGATCTTCAGTTTTATAACACTACCACCAACAATAACTCTGTTTATCATTCTCATTAATTTTGTTTTCAACTTTCAAGCATATATTTACTGTTAAGCCTTAAATAAATATTAAAATTGACTCAATTATGGATTATGGTGTGACATTAACAATTATTAGTATTCCAGTTTACATATTTTGTTTTGTATAATCATTCTTCTGTTCAAAACCTTAAGATGCATTTGGCAACGTTCATGGCACAATGGTTGAGAACTGCACTTTTCATAGAAGCCTGGAAAGCTCAGTTAACACTGTGACAGGTTACAGGCTGGACAACTGAGGAAATGCGGTTCAATTCCATGCACAGGCAAGAGACTTCTGTTTGCATTAACCAGGCTAGTTCTGGAACCTACCCAGCCTTCTATACAACGGTTATTGGGGTGTTTTTCCTAAAGCGGCCAGGACACGAAGCCCAACCTTAACTTGCCCACACGTCTTCCGATCATGGTGCTTAATTAAGCGCTATGTCATGAAGACATATATGGGAGTGGAGCCATAGCTCCACCATTCTTGACCTCAATGCTAAATGTGAGTGGTCAGTCTCAGGTGCGGGGACATCCGTGTCTTTATTAATGTTCATTACTTTGGGTACATATTTACCTGGACGGACAGCAAGTTGTCAAGTTCCTCCAGCTCCAGTCTTTTCCAAACTTCTCACCATCCTCCAGGCTCTGTGGAAGGTGCTGATTCAGAGTTTCGGGCAGGAGTAGGCTGCAAGCGCCACCCGCCACCAGCAATGACCCCATTACGATCAGTGGCAGCACCAACATCTCTTCACCCTACACCACGTTACATATATTCCAGGGTTTTAAGTTCTTACAAAGGTGACAATCATGAATAACACCTTTTGGGATGTGATCCCGCATAGTCCAGTAGAAATTCATTGATGGTTTGGAGAAACCTACTGTCTCAAATTTATTTCTGATTCAACTTTTCTCACAATGCTTGATTTACTTTTCGATGCTGACGATGGAGGCAGCAACTTCCTCCGAAACGTCTGCATACTTCTACCAGACTACACGGCGGTACATCCAAGAAATGCTCATCGCCTTCCATGATGTTCTGTTGAAGCACCAGGTGGTATCTTACAACAGGCCATTTCCTTTCAAATCATTCAACGCCTCATAACACTAATATAACTTTCCACAAAAGCACAGATTGTATAAGTTTCCATATTACATCGTCTTAGCGGTCTCAGCTTTAGTCATGCACCCCTTAACCAATATATGACAATCCATTCCCTAACCAATCAGTATTCTGTGTGGTGATGGAAACGACGTCTGTTGGTAATTTCCTAAACTATGGAATACAACGGATTGGCGGTTTTTGATGTTAGTTCGTTAAGGCACAAATATAAATTATATTGTACGAAACGTGACTCTAGTTCTATCTCAGTGCTGTTATTTCTTTATTACAATGTGTGGTAGGTTGCTCACGAGATAATATATTGACGTAATGTATTGTGTGGTGTAAAACAATCCTTTGTCTCGCTTGACAAGTGCGTGTGGCCAGGAAGTTACAAGGTTCTACAATATTCGCAATTTCGTATATGAGAACCTTTTAAGATTCTTGTCCTAGTTGGTGGTTAGGTAATTCTTCGAAGGAGACAGCAACTATTTTGCTTGGTGACTTGTAGGCCTTTATTAAAATTGTTAATAGGTACAAATCTTTTATACTTTTGGGTGGTTATAAAATCTAAAGGCAAATGCAGAACAGAAGTGCGAAACCTGGCGCCAATGTATATTTTCCTTTTTACGGCGATGGCTACTTGTGCAACACAAACTCTAAAAGACAATTTCTTGTGAAGATTGATGGTTACTTAGCTGAGTGTTACATTCCACAAGAAACTTCAGTAGTGAAACAGTTACTTCGCAGAAGAATGGTGCCATGAGATTCTTTCCTGTAAGTCAGATAACCAAATTCTCATTTTATAAAACTGCGCTCTTTTGTTTAAACAGTTTTATATAATTAGTAAAAGTGCAGATTACAGCTTGGTCTCACTACACTAACCGATCATTTGATCTTAACTAAATTAAAACGAAAAGCAACCAAATTTAACCACCAGCGGCCATTGATATGTGATCAATAATGGCCATACAACTTGTTTTTGAGACTCCATAAACCTACTATAATCTGCACTGAACCATATAATTAAATGTCTGCTGGAGAAAACTAATGAGCTTGAAAGGAACAGTAAGAACAAGAACATCAGAGGCCTGTCTAGAGGAATAAATGACGTTAAGGGGGGTTACCAGCCTAGCAGTAACTTAGTGAAGGATGAGAATGGTGATCTGCTTGCAGATTCCCACAACATTTTGAATACGTGGAAGAACTACTTCTCTGAGTTATTGAATGTACATAGGGTCAGTGATGTTAGGCAGACAGAAATACATACAGCTGAGCCATTAGTACCTAATCCTAGCCCTTTCGACGCTGAAATTGCTATTGCAAAATTGAAAAGGTATAAATCGCCAGGTAGTGAACAAATTCCAGCAGAACTTATTCAAGCAGGAGGTGAAATATTACATTCTAAGATACACAATCTGATTACTTCTATTTGGCATAAGGAAAAATTGTCTGATCAGTGGAAGGAGTCTATTATTGTAGCAGTTCACAAGAAGGGTGACAAAACTGACTGTAGTAATTATCGGGGGATATCACTGCTATCAACTTCATACAAAATTTTGTCCAATATTCTTCTTTCAAGGTTAAGTCCATATATAGATGAAATTATTGGGGATCATCAGTGTGGGTTTCGACGTAAGAGATCAATTACAGATCAGATCTTTTGCATTCATCAGATATTGGAGAGAAAATGGGAGTATGATGAGACAGTACACGTACATAAGCTATTCATAGACTTCAAGAAAGCCTATGATTCAGTTAGGAGGGAAGTATTGTACAGTATTCTAAATTAGTCTGGGTACCCATGAGAATATTTAGGCTCATTAAAATGTGTTTAAGTGAAACATATGATAAAGTCCAAGTAGGTAAACATTTGTCTGATAATTTTCCTATCCGGAATGGTCTAAAAGAAGGAGATGTTCTATTGCCAATACTTTTCAACTTTGCTTTAGAATAAGCCATTATTAGGAAGGTCTAGGGAAACCAGGTGGGACTGAAATTAAACGGGAGACATCAGCTGTTGGTCTATGCTGATGATATGAATCTACTGGGGGATAATATAGATGCCATAAATAAAAACAGACAAACTTTAATTGATGCTGGTAAGGATGTTGGTCTAGTAGTAAACACAGAGAAAACTAAGTATATGTTACTGTCTCGTCACCAAAATGCAGGGTGAAATCATGACATAAAAATATGAAACAGATGTTTTGAAAATGTAGCACAGTTCAGATATCTGGGAACAAAGCTAACAGATCGAAACCTGATTCAGGAGGAAATTAAGAGCAGATTGAACTCGGGTAAGCTTGCTACCGTTCAGTCCAGAACCTTTTGTCTTCTCGTCTGCTGTCCAAAAACATGAAAATTAGAATATACAAAACTATAATTTGTCTGTGGTTCTGTAGGGGTGTGAAACTTGGAGGTCAAGGAGGATGAGGTGGGCAGAGCATATAGCACGAATCGGGGAGAGGTGAGGAATGCGCATAGGATATTGTTGGGAAAGCCAGATGGAAAGAGACCACTGGGAAGACCAAGACATAAGTGGGTGGATAATATTAAAATTGATCTTACAGATATAGGATGGGATTGTATGGATTGGATTGGGACCAGTGGAGGGCTCTTGTGAACACGGTAATGAACCTTCAGGTTCCATAAAATGTTGGGAAGTTCTTGAGTAACTGCACACTTGGCAGCTTCGCAAGAAGGGCTGAGCTCCATGAGTGAGTGAGTGTACCTTTGGTGTTCCATAACAGAGGTGACATTTATTGACTAACAGAGCAACTGTTGTTATGTATCACACACAAATTTTTTTTCTGATATCTTATTTGAGAAACTTCTCCTTATGTAGATAATATTATTGGTGATGATTACCAATGTGGATTTCATCAAGGAAGATCCACAAAGGAACAGATTTTCAAGATGTGTCAGATACTTGAAAAGTTCAGTGTTTGGAACTGAAAACACTGCCTCTTCATGGATTGCAAAGCTGTATATGACAGTACAGGCAGATGGTAGGTTCGAATCCAAATCAACGAATGGAAGCCTGTGTGCGTTTGTTCTGCGCTTGTGTTGTTCTGTGTGTAGGTAGAGGCCTTAGTTAGTTAGTTAGTTAGTTAGTTAGTTATTGGAGAGGGTGGGTTTCCCCATGCACTTAGACCTGTATTGGTCCATTGTGCTTCCCTCTATGATTTCTACCAGTCTCTATATCCTACCGGTACTGGTGCTTACCATCAGTCCCGCCCAGCCAGCGAGACCGGCCCTACTAGCTGAGAGGTATCTATAGTGCTTCCCCCATCTACCAGAGGTATTAGAGACTGCTGTTGGGCGGGAAACTTCCGTTAATTTGGCTCAGTGACCTCCTTTGAAGATATGAGGTTCTTTTACGTGCCGTAAAGCTACGACACGGGACCCACGGCTTAAAGTCCCTCCCGGAGGACTTGTTCCCTGAATTTTTCCGCCCTTAAAAATTCGACGATCTCCGCCGGGTATTTGAACCCGCGTACTACGAGTCATGAGGTGGGAACGCTACCTCTAGACTACGGAGGCCGCTAGGTAGTGGCCTTAAAACGGTGCTGATCCCCCGTCCAAGGAGCCCTAGCGACTGTGTATAGAAATTGTAACGAAAGGGCTGTAGAGCCATAGACAGAGAGATATGAAAGCTACAATGGTGACATAACCAAAGCTTCTGGGCTTTGCGTCGTGAGAATGTAGGGAGTGTTGCCTCCGTTTCGGAGGTACACACAGCCTCCATATTCTGCATCAAAATCAGTAGGGCGAGTTGATTATTTTCTGTTCCGACTCTGAAATCTCCAACACGAAAGTTGTAAAATAAATTTCCGAATTTCTCGTGATCCTTAGATCCGCACGCTTTTTCAAGATTCGATTATAGCTATTCCCATGTCATTTCCCCCTCCCGCCACACTCAGGGCCTGTGCTCCAGGGGAACGGAACCTCTAGCGGCAGACACATAACTTAATCCAACTTTTGCCAGACATGAAGTAGAGTAGAAATACGTCGACCCTGAATATGACAACGGCATGTATCTCCGAAACATGTGCAACATTTCCCACATCCTCGCGACCCAAAACCAGAACCAACGTCAGCAATGCAGGACCGTGAGAGCCTAAGTTCATCAACGGTAACGATCCAAGTGTTACATATGTTACTGTGTGGTGCTTTGTTATTAGTGTGTGGCAAGGCCGTACCCTAGCTCAGGCGGTTAGTCGCCGCTTCCCACCGCGGCGGCCCGGGTTCAATCCCAAGTCACGTCATGTGGGATTTGTGGTGGACAAAGTGGCACCGGGGCAGGATTTCTCTAAAAACTTCGGTTTCCTCTGCACAATTCTCATTCCACCGACTGCTTCACATACATCATCATCTATCATCCGGGGTTGGTACAGTGGGCCAGTTAGTGGTCGACGTACCAAGTGAAATCAGCCTGACATCACCCCGAGAAATAATAAATAAAAAAGCCTGGCAATGGAGGATATCTTATTAATGTTACAGCTTGCGTAGTTATGAAAGGGCACTAGGAAGCGGGATATCAGGGCGACATAGTATTCTTTTTATTGCTACTGGGGTGGGACTAAGTCCCTTGTACTGAGGCCACTTCTGGCCTATTGTACCAGCCCCAGATGACTGGCAGGGGAAACCGAAGTACTCGGAGAACCTGCCCCAGCGCCACTTTGTTTACCACAAATCCCACTTGACCAGACCCGGGATCGAACCCGGGCCGTCGCGGTGGGAAGCCAGCGACTAACCGCTTGAGCTATGGTACGGCCCGGGCGACCTAGTAAGTTGTCTAAAACGTCTTTTTGGATTTGTCATCGTTAGCACGTTACTAGGTTCTGTTCTCAGCATGTGATGTGAACCAAAATCCCCATACCGGAGATCACGTTGAACAAATGGGACTTTTCTTCTGTAAGGTTGGCTACCCAAGGTATGACGCGCCCTCGAAGATGTTTGGGACAAATCAAATTTGTTAAGTATGTGTACAGCAGTGAAGAGAAAGACATTAAGGAGAAATCTCGCAGAAAACCACAATACAGTAAGGACGCATGACGAGTAACTGGGACTTTCGGAAAATTCCTCGCTGTCACGACATATGACATAAAGTCAGAAATTTTTAGGCAGACGATAGAGTAGTGTCTGTTTGCAGGGCGATAGAAGCTCGCGAATAAATTGATTCATGATAGTCGATATTGAAATTTAGTTAGAACCGCTCGCCACATTACTCAGAGTTAAAGCGCTTGCACTGAAATGATACGGACTGATATAAGTTGTCGGCCTCCTCTCGCGCAGAGGAAAGTGCAAATGTATGTAGTGCGGACAGCAGTTTGCACTTCGCCAAGGGATCAGATAGGGCCAAATGAATCGTGAGACTCGTGCTTTGCAATTTTGCATTCCGTGATCCCAGACTAGACAGCTTTCCTGAAGACATGTACTCCTTTCACTACTCAGGACTTAACTTACGGAATCGATATGACAACTTTTCTAAAAACATCTACCCCAGTAAATGTCTAGTCATTGTATGTCCATACCGATAGTAACAGAGAAACAAAAAAAAACTTTTCACTCCTACCATTTTATTTTCTTTCTTTTATTTAATTTTCCTCTATATGTAAGATTTGAGGCTTTCACGGCGGTGACTATGAAGAAAGCAGTCTTCTGGGATTTGTCACCGTGTATATGTGGTGTTAACCGACGTTCCTCCGAAACGTCGGTTAACACCACATATACAGGGTGCCAAATCCCAGAAGACTGCTTTTTTCCTCTATATCTTTGCTGCTACTTCGTAAGCTTCTTCGCGTGAATAGTACACAGCAAGCAACTGACCATGTAGATAGAGGCGATATATTCCTCCGAAACGTCGGTGGGCTTCTATCGGACTACATGGCGTCACATCCTAGAACACCGCACTCATCATAATCATCGCTGTGAGAACCTCAAATCCAAGAATCACTCACATTCACATTTTTAGTTTCCTCCTCCATTATATCTTAAATTTCTCCTTTACCTTCTTATTCTTCTTCATCTCCTTCTCTACTGCTCATTCCATTTTTATTTTTAATTTTATCCCCTCTTTCCAAGTAATCTAATTTTGAATGTGCTCCTACTTTTCTCCCCCTTTCTCTCTTCTCTCGTCTCGTCTCCTCTCTTTACGTTCTCCTACACCATCTCAAGATGATGTCAGTAGCCCAGACTACGGCGTCGAATGACATACTCCATCCGCTTTGGGAACGAGAGTGCGTCATCGTCACTTAGTGACACATCGTTACGTCATCATTGTAAAGTTACTAGACTCTCCGTTATCCAGTTGCGTATAGAAAACTCGGATATTCCGTACCGTAGCCTACACAAGGTAAGCTGCAGCTTGTATCATAGAGTGGGTGGAGTTTGGAGAGACAAATGAATGGATTTGGCAGGAAGTGATTGTGGAAACCGCCTGAGCTGTGGCAAGGCCCTGTCTATACTCCAGTGTAGTGTGGGTCTACACATGCGTCATTTCCTACTTGATTAAATGCGCGTCTCTGATGTAACGCACGCGGCCCATCTCAAGACATTCATTGCTCGAAATCAGAGCATTCCACGTTGCAAATTACACGTCACTCCGACAACACATGCCACAAGAAGGCTGTTGTCATGGCGACGTTGTCTGCTAATGAACACTGTGTAGGGTGCACGGGACGAGAAATGTACGGAAAGTTATATCGGAATACCTGACGGTGACAACTTGCGAGACCTAAGCGTAGAAGGGAGAATACAAGTAAATTCGTTCCTAAAGTATACCGGGTTAACATAACTCACACGCTGGCTCCTTAGCACGGAGTCCCGGGTTCAGTCTCGAGCGACTAAGTGAGAAACGCGGTGAAGGACGTGACAATGAATCAGCATTCTATCATTCCTCTGTACTGATCATCCCCTGAAGGATGTGTTGGGGCTTCATCTCTGACGAGACGCTTGTCTGGGTACGCGGTGAAGATCTCTTTCTTAAATAAACAGTTTCTGCTAACATAGATCGGACTCCTCTGGGACCAGTAACTGACTCTTGTGAATACGGTAATGTACGGTAATGAGTAGCTGAGTTACTGTCAGCTTCTCAAAAAGGACTCTGCTCCATGAAATGAGTTAGTTCTTCCCACCTTCGGTAGCTTAGTTGATTGAGGCACTATGCTACAAGACGGAAGGTCGCGGGTTCGATTTACGATGAGGTCACTGCATTGTTCAACTGACCTAAACCTTCGAGCAACACTATGGTTCTGGGGTCGACACAGCCTCTTAACAGAAATGAGTACCACGAATCTTCCTGGGATGTAAAGGCCGGCTGGCGCGTAAGGCTGACAGCCTCACCGCCATCTGTGAGTCGATTGTCTAAAAAATGTGGGAGCCTCCACGGCCTATTACAGGGATAACTTTACATTTTCCTTTTATTGCTCTCACAATAGACTTCTCATAGATCTTTGTGGATTGTACTATGCTGTCAGTAGTTAGCAGCAATGCGGACACTGGAGAGGAAGGAATAGTGGTGTAATCCAGATAGTATCCCAGAATTTTCCTGGACGGACTAACGAAACCCACAGAAATCCTCATTCAGGAAGGTTGTGATAGTCTTCTCTGAGATTGGAACCGAGCACCTCCAGAATACGAATCTGGATCGTTAGGGATATACCAAAGAATTCGGTATATCAGGAGGTATTGATATAAGGGTTACTAAGAGGTTAGTCTCTGGCTTCCCACCGCGGCGGCTCGGGTTCGATCGCGGTTCTGGTCAAGTGGGATTTGTGGTGGTCAAAGTGGCGCTGGGGCAGGTTTTCTCCGAGTACTTCTGTTTCCCCTGCCAATCTCCATTCCACCAGCTGCTCCACAATCACCCTCACCTATCATCTGGGGCTGGTACAATAGGCCAGAAGTGGCCGCAGTACAAGGGACTTAGTCCCATCCCACTAGCAATAACAAAATCTAGAGTGTGGGATTCACTTGCGTCATACCAACGCAATGCATAGTTCCGATGGGAAACACTGTACAACATTTGAACATTATGTTCTCTGCACGGACACAGCCATTACAGGACGATTTATACGTCAGAATGCTCGAAGAGGGGGCTTATAAGCGAAGAGAATAATTTGCGTTTATTAGAGCATGGATTGAAATAAAAAACAGCGCTTTTAATATTTACTAATTGATGGAGCAATTTTTCAGCACTTAACACACGATAACTAATGGAATATCTGATAGGTACATCACGTCTTCTATTTTTGCCAGCGGAGTTTCAGCAGTAACAACACTCAATGAATTAACGAATGAGCAGATTAAAAAAAATCAGAGTTCTCTTCTCATTTGTTCCACTAAAAATTTTGCTTTATCAAAGGCACAATGATAGGGTTTGTTGTTTTTGTTCCGGTTCATTCGATAGATCGATTGAACGCTACGAAATGATGGGATGTAGGAAAATATTTTCATTTACGTTTATATAACAGAAATGCTTTAAATGTTTGAAGCACTAGTCAGAGTTATACTTTACGACTGGCGGTTTGCAGCCAATCAGTTCCTCATGGAGACAAGCTCCTTGAGACTCACGACCAGTAATTTTATTTTCCAACTGACCACTTTCGGTTATTCTCAGGTCTGAGTCCCGAGGGACTCTCCTCGAAGCACAAATTTCTTATAAAATGTATAAATTCAGTTCGTGCCTCACAGGAAACACATTACGTCTCCGCCACAGAGCCCAACCGGTTAATGCTGTTTAGGGAAACAGTCGCTGTTTATTGTGAGAACCATACGGAACACACAGATACAGTCTTTGGGCAGAATGCGGAGCTTTTAATTGTCATAGCAGGTGGTGTATATGGTAACAATTTTGCTAAGGGATCAAATTATTGGGAATTAATTGCTTTGTCTCTGAAGGTTGTTAGTGGTATTGGACAGCTCATTCTTTGCAGTTGCAGGGAAGTGAAATATTGTGTGAATAGGATAGCAACTAGACGCTAATAGAGAAAAATAGAACGTGCATATAGACGGTATACGGAGCCTTAACTGGAACGGGACACACAGTATTATTACCAAGAAATTGTGAATAAAATGACCAATGGAAGGAGACTTCTGCAATGCTGACAGTCTCCAGATTGATGGATCGGATGGCAGGATGACGAGTGAATGGTAAACTGGAAAGTATTTGGATGAAAATGGTCGTGACCTACTCGAGGTATTTTCCTGATTTTTTTAAGGAAAATGGGAATTGTAATGGAGAGGTTCTCAGTTCGAATCTCGACCGACACACCAGCTATCCTGACTGAGGCTTTTCGGAGTTTTCTTACTCCTTGCAGGAAAATTATGGGAAAATACGTGTACATAAATTAGGTCACGACGGCTTCCTTCCAAATCCTTTCAAATTCATCGTTCATGTATCTTACCCACCGACGCTGTAGAGTATAGTTGCTGACACAGTGATACTGTAATACTGATGTTTATGAGTGTCAACTGGGTCTATCGTAACTAAGCAATAATTTTGCATTTGATTCCCATGAAGACGACATAACTACAAACATTTAGACGAGCACTGTCTTGCGTGAACTAATTATATATAGATTAGTAGTGACGAAAACACGCAGGTCATGGCTTACCAGATAGACGATTAGAGGAATGAAGACGGGGCCGAGCATGCCGACCACTGAACTGGTGCTCATGCCCAGACCGCGGACCACTGTCGGGTACAACTCTGAAGCCATGAGCGGCAGAACCACGAACGAGGAGGAGATTCCCATCTTGCCGACGCAGTAGAGGACCAGCGTCACTCTCGTGTCTGTAACATCCACCGCAACACACGGACACATCAGCTGAGATCTCTTTCAGATGCTGCAAGAGAAAGTTCTGCCGTTTCACGGGAGTCCCGGACTACGCCCTTCTTCGGTTAGTGCAGAAGGTAAAGCTGTCCCTGTAACAGGCCATGGAGGCCCATAGGGTTGTGAGACGTCGACGCTCCCACATTTTCTATAGACAGTCGGCTCATAGATGGCGGCGAGGTTGTCAGCCTTACGCACCGACCGCCCTTTGTCCCCCAGGCATATGCCTGGTACTCCTACCTACCTACCCACCTCTCTAGATACCTGTCTATCTATCTACGGTTGGACCTTGGCCGCTTTTTAAGTTTCTTAAGCCTATGCAAAGTCGGTATGACTCCCTGGACGGGGAATGAGCTAGTCGCAAGGCCTGTACCTACACGCAGAACAACACAAACACAGAATAAACGCACACAGACATCTATGCCTCGAGTGGGATTCGAACCCACGATCCCAGCGTTCGAGCCAGCGAAGACAGTTCATGCCTCAGACCGCGCGGCCAGTGTGATCGGCAATCCCTCTAAGGTTCCAGTGTTCCCTCGGCACCCTGTGCTGACACACTCAGTCTATGTTCTTCGCTTGGGGCGACTGTCCTGTGGTTTACTTCGTGACGCTGCCAGTGCGTAGACTACTCGGCGTCAAATCATGAGTGATGAATTGGAAAGGATAAGACATAATCGGTGGCCTCTTTAGTGTAATATCCCGTAATTTTCCGGAAGGGCCTAAGAAAAGCCACGAAATCCCTCAGGTTAACTGGTGTCCCGGTCGAGATTCGAACGGAGAACCATCTGGTTACGAGTCGAGAGCCTCACAGCACGCAAACTCGCTCCGTGGCTGCAGTTAGGATAGAAGTCAAGCTCTTCTGATAAGAGCACTACTCCAATGATAAGGTTAGGTTATTCATACGCTTCGCGCCATGATGACGTATGGGGGAGTGGAAGTATAGCTCCACTATTCTTGAACTGCTTCACGCTCGGACTATTTTACCCCCAGGGAAATAGCCCCAGATATAGGAGGCCTGGTGGACCCCATAGCCGATCTGGAATGCTTTGGAGTAGAGAAAGGTTTTGCTTTTGCCTGGAATCGAACCCCGGCACTCCAGCCCGTAGCCAGGCGCTATACCGACTGAGCTATCCCGGCTCCTTTATTCCATTGACGGAATGGCAAATAGTTCAAAGCTTGGATCTTAGTACGTGATGTGTCGTATCTGTGTGGTTGCCCTTGAAGATAAGCAGCGTACGCAGTACACATACGTGTAGTGTGCCAATTTACAGCGACTGCCGTTAAGAGAAATGCCTTAGCCCCTTCAAGATAGTAATTCGAGTTCACGCATTGCAGGAGAGTCGGAGAAGTTGCCGAACCTCCACGGCGTTTATCCGAGCTATTCGCTAATATTGCGGTAGAAATGCGAGTATCATTACGTAGTGACAGTTTGTGATTGAGGTCTTCTGGGTTATGACATCGCGTAGTCTGGCAGATAGGTACCAGCGTCTGGGAGGGCATTCCTGAATTCACTCCATCTACGCTTTGTTCATGCCGCTATACATTTGTCGAGTTACATTTGCGGGATTGCACGAGAATTCTTATGATTTGCTTGCGAAATCTGAAGTGTTCACGGCCGTGACTGTGAAGATTGCTGTCTTATAGGATATGGGACCGTATATTGTGATATATCGTGACCAACGTTTCGGAGAAAACTGTTGCCTCCATCTTCAGGGTAGTTCTAGCTTGAGTACTCAAGTCTGCGGTACCGTTCCTCCCTGTCCATGTACCTGCAACAGTTTGTTAAAAGTGTGACTTACTTTTCTATCCTGACGTTTCGCGTGAATACTCTGCCTCCATCTTCAGCAACGAAGCGTAGGTCAAGGAAATAACCGGCAAGAAGTTATCAGATACTTGCTGACGAATTTCTTGGCTTACTCTTCGGCGATGAAGGTAGAATGTCACCGATGTTTTTGAGGAACGCACTACTTTAATTTTCAGGGTTGAAGAATATGTCGTCAAGAAATTGGAGCCAGTTATTGCTAATTACTAAGCTTAAATTTCTACCCTGAAGATGAAGGCAAAAAGTGCCTCCGAAACATCCCTGAACGTCACTCTTCCAATTCAGAGAGTAGCTGTGGAGGGAGTTCAGTTTCGTTGTGAGCACGTGACGTGGATTTGTGCGCGTGTTGTTGCCGTTAGAGCTGACAGAGTCGAGACGCTAATTGAATGCACTGCCATGAGATTTATTACCGGGAATCCCACGTCAGGTGACTCCATTACGAATTCTTTTTATGTCAATATTGGACTTGCCTGTAGCGTCACATCCTCTGCAGCACGCGGACCGCACTCATCAAGAAGGAAGAGATTTATTATGCGCGTCTGGGCAAGAAACAGCTACAGAGAACATGTGTATACACGCCCCGTCTCTCTGCCCCCTGAGGAAGCTCCAGGTTCCTGAATGGTAGGACGGAACTGGGTGGCTTGAAGATACTTCACGGCGCTGTCAGTATCTACAACAGGGGTGGGCAAACTACGGACTGCGGGTTGGATAAGACCCGCGGGACTATTTTGAAAATTCATATGCAATATATATATTTTTAATTTGAATCATCATTCTGTAAACTTCAACAAGGATTGTAGTAAAGTATCCTTCTACAATGGATGTTAGAAGTCTGTTTCAGGTGACTGTGCATCAACAGATATTTGTTCCGTAGTTTTAGTCCGAAATATTTTCTGAGATGCGGTCCGATAAATAGTTGCTGTTCCTAATTCGGCCTTTCGGGTATAAATTTTTTCCACCCCTGATCTGGGGCTATATAACGTCGAACTTCAGACTGATTCATGAATAATGAATTGGAAAGGATTTGCATGGTAGTGTTTGTCTTAATGTCGTTTCCATGGAAACTAAATGCAACACTAACCCCAGAATAAGAGAGCAGTCGGCATTAAAGTACCTTAAATTGTGGGGGGGGGGATTCAAGTATGTTCCACTGTTTAAAGGTATACTGTCAGATCTGTCTTATTGTTCCTATCATGCCCCATAAAGTGTGATGACCAGCCAACGCGTTGGTAGCCAGCAAATATGCATTATAGTGCATGTTTGTCTTCCAATTGTCCCATTTCTTACAGCTGTTCCTTGAGGTCGTCACGACTTCAGAGAAGCAGAACTGCGTCCGACTGCACACATTTGTCAAACATCTCGAGGCACGGTTTGTTCTCTTTACGATATTCTCAGCATCCAGCCAATATGACGACGAAGAGCGCCGGTAGCCCGTTGAAATACAACTGACGTGTCCTAGGAACATTTCGCCTCTGCTTTCAGGGCCGAATAAACCGAGAAAGATACCCGCTGAAAAGCAGACATTAAAACCATTTTTAGGATATACGGCGTAAATGTATATATTGGATTGATCTCTCTAAGGATATTGTGACGCATATACCATTGCTAGGCAACGGCTCGGTAAAACATCTCCTAAGTTACGATCTCAACAATAGAAGGATATCCGTTTCTGGTTATCGGACATATAAACACGCGAGAAGAATGAAAGGTGTTTTCTATGTGGTCGGCGCCGAGACTGCTAGGCAACTGCGTGGTGACACGCCTCTGCAACAATAGAGGAACTATGTTTTCTGTGCTGCGTGGTCCGTGCATGCTGTTAAAGACTTATTACTGCTGGCTGTGACTCTGGCAAACGATAGACACGTCCTCTCGTCAGAGAGAGCGCTCCGCATCTAGAAGTCTTAAATTGTCTGACAGTAATAAAGATCTGGTCGTAAACCCCAGGTGGGTGCTTTATTCCAAGACAGACTGACCGACTGACCGTGGTCGTAACATAAGTTTGACATTTGAAGTCAGAGTCAGGAGAATGCGAACACAACGGCGTACAGCAGAATGAGAACTGAGCCAGCTGCCGGTAGGAGACAGCCACGGAAAGTCAGCAGTGGAAGAAGAATTAGAAGTCAGCCTCTGATTAGAAGATTTAGTCATAGTGAGACTTAATTCCGTTACCATGATACTAGTGAAGACTGAGAATCCTTGTGCTTGTGTAACGGTGAACTGTAAATTATATAAATTAGCGATAGCTCTGACTTGCTTGTATAAGATGTTAATAAACCCAATCATCCAATCCAAGCCCCGTGTATAGTCATTAATACACGTGACTATTTTACAGCGGTGGAGTTCTATGCATATGGTAATGAACCGAGTGTCATAGCAGTGAGTTTAGCAATATTAGCTTCTCGCGAAATAATCTGCCCTAGAATTCGCTGGTCAGTTTGTGTTGATGTTTCTCTGTCTTTCTGAGTCTGCTGCTTGCTGCTGGCTTGTATTGCGGGGAGAGGTACTGTTCGGGCACTCAGGCGCCGAGGTGGGCTTAGTCATTATGCACGCGTTAGGACATGTGGTCTATGAGGCATCGCTCGGCAAGATACCCCCTGGCTAACAGGGCACCCGTACGGCTGAGGTGTGTGTTGAAGTTCTGTTGGTGGAACTGTACATTCAAACTCCCTCCCCCCTTCCCCTAGTCCCGTTGGAGCCTCCGTACTAACGAAAACAAATCACTAGCGCCCTCCTCATTTAAATGGCCCTCATGTGCCTGGCTTTGGTTCCTTTGTAGCGTAGATTTTAGCGCTCCTTGCGGCCAGTATCATCAGCCAGTGCCCGCCCGTCTGCGTCTAAGTGTTAGTGGCGCATTCGGATGAACTGTACGGTGGAGGGCGCCGTTACGACGGAGCCAGTGCCCGTCCGTCTGTGTCTAAGTGTTAGTGGTGCATTCTAAGGAACTGTACGGTGGAGGGCGCCGTTAGGACGGAACCAGTGCCCGTCCGTCTGTGTCTAAGTGTTAGTGGTGCATTCTAAGGAACTGTACGGTGGAGGGCGCCGTTAGGACGGAACCAGTGCCCGTCCGTCTGTGTCTAAGTGTTAGTGGTGCATTCTAAGGAACTGTACGGTGGAGGGCGCCGTTAGGACGGAACCAGTGCCCGTCCGTCTGTGTCTAAGTGTTAGTGGTGCATTCTAAGGAACTGTACGGTGGAGGGCGCCGTTAGGACGGAACCAGTGCCCGTCCGTCTGTGTCTAAGTGTTAGTGGTGCATTCTAAGGAACTGTACGGTGGAGGGCGCCGTTAGGACGGAACCAGTGCCCGTCCGTCTGTGTCTAAGTGTTAGTGGTGCATTCTAAGGAACTGTACGGTGGAGGGCGCCGTTAGGACGGAACCAGTGCCCGTCCGTCTGTGTCTAAGTGTTAGTGGTGCATTCTAAGGAACTGTACGGTGGAGGGCGCCGTTAGGACGGAACCAGTGCCCGTCCGTCTGTGTCTAAGTGTTAGTGGTGCATTCTAAGGAACTGTACGGTGGAGGGCGCCGTTAGGACGGAACCAGTGCCCGTCCGTCTGTGTCTAAGTGTTAGTGGTGCATTCTAAGGAACTGTACGGTGGAGGGCGCCGTTAGGACGGAACCAGTGCCCGTCCGTCTGTGTCTAAGTGTTAGTGGTGCATTCTAAGGAACTGTACGGTGGAGGGCGCCGTTAGGACGGAACCAGTGCCCGTCCGTCTGTGTCTAAGTGTTAGTGGTGCATTCTAAGGAACTGTACGGTGGAGGGCGCCGTTAGGACGGAACCAGTGCCCGTCCGTCTGTGTCTAAGTGTTAGTGGTGCATTCTAAGGAACTGTACGGTGGAGGGCGCCGTTAGGACGGAACCAGTGCCCGTCCGTCTGTGTCTAAGTGTTAGTGGTGCATTCTAAGGAACTGTACGGTGGAGGGCGCCGTTAGGACGGAACCAGTGCCCGTCCGTCTGTGTCTAAGTGTTAGTGGTGCATTCTAAGGAACTGTACGGTGGAGGGCGCCGTTAGGACGGAACCAGTGCCCGTCCGTCTGTGTCTAAGTGTTAGTGGTGCATTCTAAGGAACTGTACGGTGGAGGGCGCCGTTAGGACGGAACCAGTGCCCGTCCGTCTGTGTCTAAGTGTTAGTGGTGCATTCTAAGGAACTGTACGGTGGAGGGCGCCGTTAGGACGGAACCAGTGCCCGTCCGTCTGTGTCTAAGTGTTAGTGGTGCATTCTAAGGAACTGTACGGTGGAGGGCGCCGTTAGGACGGAACCAGTGCCCGTCCGTCTGTGTCTAAGTGTTAGTGGTGCATTCTAAGGAACTGTACGGTGGAGGGCGCCGTTAGGACGGAACCAGTGCCCGTCCGTCTGTGTCTAAGTGTTAGTGGTGCATTCTAAGGAACTGTACGGTGGAGGGCGCCGTTAGGACGGAACCAGTGCCCGTCCGTCTGTGTCTAAGTGTTAGTGGTGCATTCTAAGGAACTGTACGGTGGAGGGCGCCGTTAGGACGGAACCAGTGCCCGTCCGTCTGTGTCTAAGTGTTAGTGGTGCATTCTAAGGAACTGTACGGTGGAGGGCGCCGTTAGGACGGAACCAGTGCCCGTCCGTCTGTGTCTAAGTGTTAGTGGTGCATTCTAAGGAACTGTACGGTGGAGGGCGCCGTTAGGACGGAACCAGTGCCCGTCCGTCTGTGTCTAAGTGTTAGTGGTGCATTCTAAGGAACTGTACGGTGGAGGGCGCCGTTAGGACGGAACCAGTGCCCGTCCGTCTGTGTCTAAGTGTTAGTGGTGCATTCTAAGGAACTGTACGGTGGAGGGCGCCGTTAGGACGGAACCAGTGCCCGTCCGTCTGTGTCTAAGTGTTAGTGGTGCATTCTAAGGAACTGTACGGTGGAGGGCGCCGTTAGGACGGAACCAGTGCCCGTCCGTCTGTGTCTAAGTGTTAGTGGTGCATTCTAAGGAACTGTACGGTGGAGGGCGCCGTTAGGACGGAACCAGTGCCCGTCCGTCTGTGTCTAAGTGTTAGTGGTGCATTCTAAGGAACTGTACGGTGGAGGGCGCCGTTAGGACGGAACCAGTGCCCGTCCGTCTGTGTCTAAGTGTTAGTGGTGCATTCTAAGGAACTGTACGGTGGAGGGCGCCGTTAGGACGGAACCAGTGCCCGTCCGTCTGTGTCTAAGTGTTAGTGGTGCATTCTAAGGAACTGTACGGTGGAGGGCGCCGTTAGGACGGAACCAGTGCCCGTCCGTCTGTGTCTAAGTGTTAGTGGTGCATTCTAAGGAACTGTACGGTGGAGGGCGCCGTTAGGACGGAGCCAGTGTCCGTCCGTCTGTGTCTAAGTGTTAGTGGTGCACTCGGATGAACTGTACCGTGGAGGGCGCCGTTAGGACGGAGCCAGTGCCCGTCCGTCTGTGTCTAAGTGTTAGTGGTGCATTCGGAGGAACTGTACGGTGGAGGGCGCCGTTAGGACGGAACCAGTAGTCGTAAGAACGTTTACGGATTCCTGTGTTGCCACACACTTCGAATTTATGTCTGTCTTGTGCAATATTGCCTGACGCAGAACCTAACAGCATACTTCTGGGGTGTAACGCCGTGTAGTCCGATAGAAGGTCATTGACGGTTCGGATGAATCTACTGCCTCCATCTTCAGGGTTGAAGAGTAAGCCAAGGTGTACATACACACTTATTTCCTTAGAAAGACCGATACTATGACCTCCCAGAATATTGGCTTTTCCTCCTTGGACACTCTGTATATATGCTTATTGCTAGTTGGTATATGGACCGGTCTAGGGAATGAAACGTCTTTTCCCGCTCGAAAACTGGTGATCGTGGGTTCGAATCAAACTCGAGGCATGCATGGCTGTGTTTGTGTTGTTCAATATGTAGGTAGCGGCCTTGTAACGGGCTGATCCCCGTCCAAGGAGTCCTACAGACTTTGTATAGATTAAGAATCTGTAAAAGCGGCCAGAGCTCACAAGTGCATGTAGGTAGTTCGTATGTGGTCAGTTTGAAATTGCTGAAAAATGTAGAGAATGATTTACGAGAGCTGAAAGTGAAGAGATGGATGTAAGTATGTCGTACAGGAGAGCAGGGGTCTGAGAGAACCGTAGTTAAGCAACGGTTCCAGTTCGTCACCAGTTCCCCCCGCTGTATACTGAGCAACGCCGGCCGCTGGAAGCCGATGGCGCTATTTACACAACACAAGTATGCGTTTACACGGGCCAGTCAACGTATGGAGTGGAGGCTGAACCACATACGAGTGGTTGTGAGGAGGCTTATGGGCCCTACAGCCCCTGAAGCCAGGCTCCTGAAAGCAGAATCTGTATATATAAATATAGTTCGTAAGCGCGGAATTTATCGTTCTCATGGCGCAAATTCGGATTTCTATAGCGACGAAGTGTCAAATGTCAACAATTTTTATGAATGTAGATCATGTAGCAGGTCACAGATGAGTCAGCAGTCTTTTTTAGTGTATCGTGTCTATTCTGTGAATATTCATATTATGTATGAAGTGCAGTATACTATACAAAGGCGATTGTTTACGTTTGATTATTTGTGCGTATTATTCGTGGTAGATGGCGTCAAACGTCACCCTCTACCTATTATTTGATAGCGTGTAGGAATGGACAGGAATACGGGAGAAGGCGGGGGAAGATAACAGTATTCCTCAACGGATGTCACGCTTGTGTCCTCACTAACCAACCAACTAACTAACTAACTCCATAGAGCAGAGTCCCTGAGAGGCTAATTTTTTTTTTTGTGTATGTCAAGAATTTTTTAAGAATTTTATGTGAAATTCAAAGTTTATTGTCGTGCTAAAATGTCTGCCCATGGCCCCTGCTTTCAGTCACATGAATCCTGTCCACACGCTTCAGGACAATGATTCATTTTAATATTATCCTACCTTCTATGCCTACGCTTTCCGGGGGGGGGGGTTCACCTCATTTCTTTCCGAAAAAGATTTTGTATTTATTTCTCTCCTCTCCCGGAGCGCGGTTCCTACCCCGAACACCTCATCCTATTTGGTTTGAACACAGTAACAAAATATGATGAGAGGTTGATATGAAACTCCTTGTTATGCAGGTCACGAACTTCTGGGTTGTAACGTCGTTCAAATCGGTGTAACTACACGAACGTTTCGGAGGAACGTTTCGCTTCCATCTTTAGGGTCAAAGAGTAAGCCAAGGGCGAACCCAAACATCCAGGACCTCACTAAACCATACGGCGTTAGAACCCAGAACCTGCGATCTAACGCCTTCAGCAATTGCCTTCAGTCTCATGGAAGTTTCGGCAAGGAAATATAATTCTCAGGAAAAAAAAAGTAAACACTTCTGTGGAACAGGGCTCTAATTTGAAATCTAAAGTGTGTGACGGAATATGACCATTTGCTAGGCAACGCTTCGGCAAATACGGCCTGAAAGCTAAAATAGCAACAGAAGTGGAAGTTCATTTGCTAGACAACGGTCCACTAGTTTCCGTGACAAGAGGAACCGTTTGAGATGGTGACCTATATTCGGGCTGCCTGGAAGTTATTAAAAGAGTCGTAATTCATTCGTAAGGGAGTTCAATGTGTGAGCAGTGATTCCTCGTTCGTCATTTGTCACAGTAGAAGAGAAGTCACTCGTGGTCCAGTAAGGAATGGAGCGGGTTGTGGACAGTCATTGATTGTGATCTGTTGTAATTGATTGTAATTGTAAAGAAGTGGCAATAAATCCAACCGTCGAATCCAGAACCCATTATTATTAGTCACGGAACCCCGGACACGTGACCAGTGTCTCTCGGTTTGTAAAGAAATTTGATAATTCCCGCCGTGGGATCCCCAAATCCCAGAGCGCGGCACTCACCGTTCTGCACGAGGAAGGTGGCGAGACACGCCACCCCGCCGATCACCATGCTGACGCACAGCGTCCAGCGGCGTCCCCAGTAGTCCATAGCGGGCCACAGGAACACGTACGTGGGCAGCTCGACTGCCCCGGCCAGGAAGAAGTTGAGGAACTCATCGCCCCCCAGTACCGGGGCGTAGTACGACAGCCCCACGTAGACACTAGTGTTCGTGAACCTGGGACACACACACACAGACACAGTGAACTGGTGTGGGCGTGGAGGGGTCGGCCCTGGTCCTTCCTCGAATTCACAGGCAAAAAACAAAAGGGTAAAGCTATCCCTGTAACAGGCCGTGGAGGCCCATAGGGTTGTGAGACGTCGAGGTTCCCACATGTTCTAGACAATCGACTCAGATGGCGATGAGGTCAGCCTTACGCGCCAGCCGCCCTTTACCCCCAGGAAGGTTCCTGGTACTCATTTCTGTTAGATGCTGAGTCGACTCCAGGGCCATAGTGCGGCTGGAAGGATTGGGTAAATTGAAAAAAAATACCTCACCGGAAGTCGAACCCACGTCCTTCTGGCTTGTAGCATAGTGCCTCAAACAACTACCGCGTGCCATCTTTAAGTAATGCACGCAACATTAATGTAAATTTTCCTGTAATTGTGTAGTTCATTATCCTGTCTCGTTAATTAGCTAATGATTTACTGTGAACAAATACGCGAGTGTAGCGTGCCACAAAAAGCTGTCACACCAAACTTCAACGAATTTTGCTAGCTCTGTCGAGTGGGCCCAACTGAATAGGGTTTACCTTAACACGGAGACAGAATGCAGTCTCCAAAACGCTGTGTTTTGAAATGTAAACAGGACGATGGCTAATGTCCAGAAATATTTGTAATGAGATTCATTTTGTAATTGTCTAGAAGCACCTGAAGGCCACAAATGGCGGAAGTGCATTACGTATTATGATTATGCATTTATTTTAAAAGTGATTCCCCTAAATGGTACCTTCCAATTCAGTGTGAAAGGTAAGAGTATTCGTCATTAAATTTGTTTGGTACTGGGTTCAAATGTGTGCCCGATATCGGCTGTCCTGACTGAGATCTTCTTTGCCAGTCTAATTCCTTTCTTGCCACCTCTACTCAGTTCTGCTAACTGCCAATTCTGGAGATTCAATTTTAATTCTAGTCCAAGTCCAAATCCAAGTCACATTGCGACTGACGGTCAGTCAGTCAGTAAATCTTGGTGTCCAGCCCCATCTAGGGCTCATGACCAGATATTTATTACTCTTTGGCATTTACGGTCTTGTTTTTGTTGGGCGCCCTCTCTGACGAGAGGACGGGTCTACCTTTTGTATGTGCTGCTGGCCCTTGTCAGTGCAGTCATTCTCGGGTCTGCCTGAGATCCTCGTTATAAAGCCTCGGGGCTCGCAGCCCTCGCAGAAGACACCGCTTACTCTATTGTGTGTTTATTCACTGATGCAGAGATGTGTTTACCTCACCGCTGCGTAGCAACGAGCGTAGCTCTGACCACAGAAAACACCGCACTTCTATTGTTGCGCACGTTCGCTTCCTTGGGTTTGTGTTTAGCAAGCCGTTGCCTATCAATGATCTATTCCGGCTTTCAGGCGTCATGTCACAATATAAATCAACACACATTGTGCGGTCAGTGGTGACCTAGCTGTGTGGAATGGATTAATCTGGTTCAGGAAACGGATCAGCTTGGGTCTTTTGTGAACACGGTAATGAACATTTTGATACCAGAAAGTGCTGGAGAGATCTTGAGTGGCTGGGCGACTTTCGGCTTCTTGGGGTTAGTTTTGGATAAAAAGCAGAGTTCTGAAATATTAAAGCAAATGGTGTACGACGTATATAGGAGCCAATGTGCTTCGAGGCGCAAGAAGTCGCAGCTACATACTCAGAGAATCACAGTGCATTTAGCCTGGGACGCTCATTTCAAATGAAATACTTTAACTTTCGGTTTTTGTATCTTCAAGAACTTAATTTCCTGCATTCTCCAGAGAATGGTAAACACAGGATGAAGGCTTTGCATCCTAAATGTGGCTTAGAGGTAAATTTATTTCGCCAGGAATCATTACTACTTCGGTTACGTTTAAATGAGAAAGAAAAACGCAACGTTTTTAAATTCCAACCGCGTCTAGTTGCCATGCAACCGAGCAGAGGGTAAAGCGAGACAATAGTGACATTAATCTTGTGAATACATTCCGGACTTAGGTGCTAATGTAAATGTTTTAATTCCTGTAAGATTTGAGGCTTTCACGGCGGTGACTATGAAGAAAGCAGTCTTCTGGGATTTGGCACCGTGTATATGTCAGTCTACTTTTACCGGTTCTCACAGTCTCTTCGCTTGCGGATTTCTTATATTTTTCCTTCTGCTCTGAAGATGGAGCCGATACGTTCCTCTGAAACGTCGGTTAACACCACATATACACGGTGCTAAATCCCAGAAGACTGCTTTCTTCATTCGTTTTAATTCCTGTCTCTATTTTTTTCCTAATATACGGGATCTTGCTAAATTAGATACCACGTTTAAATAATCGTGTCTCAGAAGTGAACAGAGATATAAAATGATACAAGATACATCATATTACATATTGTCACATGAAGGAGTGTGATTATAGACGGGGTTTGAATTGGAGACTGGAACACACGACTTTTGACTACAATTAATTAGAGCGCCATTTCTTATCTCCACAATTTACAGATCACTACAGCCCACGCACTCTTTTAAGTCTGTTATCTTCGTTAGTCGTTTCCGGTAACGGCTTTTAACATTGGGGATTCTTCAGCTTCCGCGCTCAGTTCGTTGCTCGCTGGCTCTCAACTGCACCGACTAAGTCTTCGCTTCACAGACTCCCTTACAACTCTCGGAAGCGAAGAGCACAGAATGAGGGTGTTTGAGAACAGGGTGCTAAGGGGGATATTTGGAACTAGATGGAGGAAGTTAAAGTAGCCTGGACAAACTACTATAATGAGGAGCTTCATAGTTGACACTCATCACCAAACATTATCAGAATGATCAAATCAAGGAGAATGAGATGGGGCAACAATGTAGCGCGCATGGGAGATAAGAGAAATTCATGAAAGTTGGGTAGGAAATCCTGAAGGAGAGAGACGACATGGAATACCTAGGCATAGAATAATATTAAAATTGATCTTAAAGAAATATAATAGGATATTATGGTCAGGATTTGTATGTCTCGGGATAGTGACCATTGGTGGGCTCTTGTGAACACGGAACGAATCTGTCGGTTCCATAAAACTCAATGAATTCCTCGAATAGTTAAGAGGATACCTTCTTCATGGAGTCGGCTCGTGTCCTGTTGATCTGTTTGTTCATTTTGCCACTGACGTGAAAGTGGTCTCACAGCGGGATGATTGGCCAGAAACGGGACCTAATTTAAACAGCGTGTTTAGTTATGTTTGCGACTAAATAGTCAATCTATGTACAGTGACTAAATTCGCCACAAGACGAGCCTAAACCTAGGCAGTGTGGAGATGTCGCATATAGGCACCACCTTGTAAGGCCACCCTGCAAGCTAGCCTGATTGTCAACATATCGTCAGAGAACGAATTTACATGAGGTAGCGCGTCAACAGCACTCCAGGCTCCTGACGCCTGCGCAGTGGTCGGGAGGGAGGCGCCGTTCTGAGAGTTTCCTATTACACTCGCATCAGAGAAATGGATTCACACAGTACGTATATTGATATACATCACGACACGATTTGATTTGTCGCATCCATCATCAGCCGTTGCCGACTGTGGGCGTCACAAGGCAGACTTGAACTGCAGCAGTGGTGACTATGTACCGCATGTTCCAACATTGTGCTCACACTATTTTTATGTGCTCGTATGATTTTCCCCTTCTCATACAGTATGAGTTACAGAAAACGTCGTTAAATAAGCCACAAGCAATAGACAGACATTTTAGCATCCGCTGCACTGCTGACATGTGTTGCATTCCAACATCTTAACCTCTCCGTAACTGAGCTTTATACGAAAAAAACCAGTTCACGTTTTTACAGGGACCTGAGATTGTTGGGGAGGGGGCACAATGAGGAGCTTCATAGCTTGTACTCTTCTCCAAGTATAATTAGAATGATCAAGTCAGGGAGGGTGAGATGGGCAGGGTATTTAGAACGAATGGGGAGGAGAGGAATGCATAAGGATATTGGTGGAAAAGCCAGAAGGAAAGAGACCACTGGAAAGACGAAGACATAGGTGGGTGGATAATATTAAGATGGATTTTAAAGATATAGGATGGTATGGATTGGATTGATCTGGCTTAGGATAGTGATCAGTGGAGTGCTCTTGTGAACACGACAATGGACCTTCGGGTTCAATACAATTCTGGGAAATTCTTGGGTGGCTGCACAACTGGCGGCTTCTCAAGAAGGGCTCAGCTCCATGAGTGAGTGAAGGGGAGGGGGCTTAATATGCCCCTCGTTATTTCACTCCTTCCGTGCTTTATGGAAGTGAAGCAGTTTTTTAGGCAGCTGTCTCCGAGTTCAGACAACTGAACACAACGGTTTGCACATAAGCAGTTTCGAAATGTGTAGCTTCCCGGAGCTATAAACAGGCCAACATCAGAGACCTTCCATATTCGAGTGCATTAACTTAATTAACATCGATCTTTGCGTTCATTTTTATAAAGACATATGAAGCTCCATGTGCTGTGCCATGCAGTGGGACACAGTGCACCGAAAGTTCCGAGCACTCTTGTGGCTAGCTCCACTATTTACAAAATTAAAAAAAGATTTTAAACAAACAAGTCCATAAATAAATACACTGCACGTAAATTTGAAAATACAGCTCACTCTTCCGTTCCCCCAGCAAACTTCGCGTAATAAGGTAAAATGGCCATTTTTCTGCAGTTTATAAAGAAAGTTTTCGTCGTTTTGCCGGCAGCGCTCCAATAAGCTGCAAATGAGGAGGAGTCGTTGAAATTATTGGATTACTGGATCTAGCATTCACAGCATAGGCTTCACTTAACCCTTACGTTTGATAACAGAGTTACACGTTTTTGCCTATTATTATTATTATTATTATTATTATTATTTATTATTGTTGGAGGGGGTGGGTTTCCCCATGCACCGCGACTAATAGTCTATTGTACGTCCCCCTTTGATATTCTACCAGTCGCCATACCCTACCGGTACTGGTGCGTGCTATCAGGCCCGTTCATCCAACGAAGTCGGCCCTCGGTACCCAATACTTCCCTCATCTACCAGAGGCATTGGAAACTACTTGGGCGGGAAACTTTTTTTTTCCCTAATTTGCTCAGATATGAGGATCTTTTACGTGCCGTAAATCTACGACACGGGACCCACGGCTTAAAGTCCCTCCCGGAGGACTTGTTCCCGGAATTTTTCCGCCCTTAAGAATTCCACGACCTCCGCCGGGTTTGAACCCGCGTATCTTGAGTCATGAGGTGGGAACGTTACCCCTAGACTACGGAGGCTGCTTTTTGCCTAGTAAGTGGTTTACTTCCTTGTCAGTATCATAATATACTTTCTTACTCATGGAGCTGAGCCCTTCTTGAGGAGATGCCAAATCTGCAGCTACTGAAGAACTTCTCAGCATTTTATGGAACCAGAAGGTTAATTACCGTGTTCAAAAAAGCCCTCCACTAGTCCCTATCCTGGGCCAGATCAATCCAATCCATACCATCCCATCCTATCTCTCTAAGATCAATTTTAATATTGTTCGCCCATCTACGTCTTGGTCTTCCCAGTGGTCTGCTTCCTTCTGGCTTTCCCACCAATATCCTATACGCATTCCTCATCTCCCCCATTCGTGCAGTACCGTAACATACAGCTGCTGAAACTTGAAAGAAGGAATAACACTCAGATTAGGGCGTTGCAGTTTACTCAAGTAATTTAACCGGAAGGCTGGGAATGGGGATTCGAGCCACACGTCAGAAGTCTACAATAATATTTCCACATCGCTTCAACAGCCGTGGTTACGGTACGTACTCGTGGGAGTAGGGGGAGCCTCCGTAATACCTTGGCCCATCACTCGGGTCCGAGTTAGGAAATTTAATGAGGAATATACAGGGTGTTCCACAAGGAAACATCAATATTCTTGGAGGCCGCAGTATCGGCCCTTCTAAGCAACGAATTGTATATGTGTCTATTCCGAACGGTTTCCGAGATACGGTATAGTTCGCTTGCGGACTAAAGGCCACGGAGTAAAGGTTTCTGAATATACGTACATGTGATTGGGGTACTCCTTCAGTCTCTCGAGAAGCTTTCCGCAGTCGCACAGTTCCGCGGGGTACAGGGCGCCAGCGAGGGTGGAATTCAGAACATGTTTCGACTGCTTAGTGAAGAGGTTTAGTTTATTTTACACTGAAATGTTGGTAGCGATGTTCCTCTTCTGGAATTCCATCTGTAAAAGGTCCACGTATCCGTGACATCGTTGGAAGGGTTTCATGAACTATTGCGTCCTACTAATGCAATTTAGATAAAATTGGTACTGTAATGCAGAGGGCTCTCAATCTGGAATTCTATCAGAATACAAAATCAGCATTCGATACAGATTGGTACACTTGGTTTCGGGTTTGGAAACGCACGTAAACACAGCTTTGAACTCAGTTTGCAGCGCAGTTGCTTGGATAAACAGACCGGCTCTTCCCCCCCCACCCCCCGAGACGCACTGGGGTGGTCTAGCAGACGATTTCCAATTTCCTGCTTGCGAATATTGGTCGTGGAAACGGCTGTATAAGAATTGTGGGACCAAGCGGATAAATAAATAGAAGACATGCACTTAAGTCTTAATATAACGAAAAACAGTGATTAAAGTTAAACAAATTTTGGGGAAAAGAAATTATCGTTATAATTTTGTTTAAAGGAATAAAATGTTTCGGAAGCTGATTCCACTTCCATTGTCAGATGGAAGTATGAAATTTTGATAGATATGAGGTTATCACAGCGGTAAATATACTAAAAGTCCGTACAGTCCGGCAGAAGTTCACAGTAAGAACGGCTTACTGCTCGCTTCTAAGTCCTTCGATTGGGTTGCATTTCTTGTAGCCTGAAGCTGGAGGCGGAACCTTCCTCCGAAACGTCAGTAAGCTTCTACAGGACTGAACGGTAGCACTCTTCCTATGAAATCCTCTCATTCGGATTCCTCAGATGGCTCGAAACCGGGGTTAAGTGTTCAAAATGTTCCGGTCCGACATTTAGTACTTTCTGGTTTATGAAGGTTCCCCCCCCCCCAATATTCTTGAATTAGTTAACAGACGAAGGAAATTTCTCGAAAGTCGGCACAGAAAGTAAATTTCACTCTTAGCGGAAAACCGATAGCAGACGGGAGGAAAATTTAGAATGGACTAAGTCTCAGAGGGAGACTCCCTTTTGGGAACCTTGTGGTCACTCAGCTAACCAAAAAATTTCCCACATACTATGGAATCCAAAGGTTCGTAATAGACCACGACTGCACTGTATCTGGAAGCAGTATAATGTAGTCCACACCCCTGGCCTTATTCTCTCAAGTTCAATTTTAATATTGTCAGGACTTTGGGGTGCGTGACTTATAGACGGGACATGGCTTGGGTATTAGATTTATTGGCCACCCGTATATAACACTAGAAACTACACTTTACAGTTCACTCACACAAACTAGTATCCTCGGTCTGTTACATTCTGCACTAGCCGTTTCCTGGCAACGGATTTAACACAGTGGAGATTCTTCAGCTTCCGTGGTGAAGACATTGCCCGTCCGTTAACACTCCACACCTGAACTCGTAGCGATATCTTCTCAGTCTCCCTTGCCGAGCCCAAATCTCGACTAACTTCTTACTTAGAACTCCGGAACTAGACTAATTCTTCGCAGCTGAACTCTTGTTTATAACCATTTTGCACGGACCGAATAGAAAATATCGTTCCAAACATTTAATCTATTGTTTCTTGCGTATCCATAGCTGCAGAACTTTTTTTTACCGAGCCGTTTCCTAGCAATGAACGTCTCCTCTGGCTCCAGTATTCCGGCCTTCAGGCTTCATGTCCCAATATTTTTCTTTCAGCATCGTCTGCGCCTCCAACTCTGCCTCAACCGTACGTCTCCCTAATAAAGTGGTAGAAATACTTTACCTCCCCCCCTCGCGTGTCTCGATGTACCCTAAGCAGATGCTAAGAAGCACACGTGACTGATAGCTTACTGCCTAAGTTACACAAAGAAGGGAGCGAATTTATTTCAATTTGAATAGATAGAGCTTATCTCCATATCACTTTCATAAGTTGATGCCGCGAGAACTCCAATTTTAGATTGGGGACTTCTTAGTTATGACACCATGAACATTTTACCCTGAAGATGGAGGCAGTAATTTCCTCCGAAACGTTGGTACCAATCTACCACAATATACGGTGCCTATTTCAGTGTCTCAGACTGTATAGCGCTGAATGATATGGTGATTGCTAAGTGCTTATTGGAAAAAGTGACTTGGACAGAAGCTGCGTTACTTAATTTGAGATATTATCCAGACGGGTACCTCGAGGGACTGAAGGGAACTATAAACATTCTCGGCATAAAGCAATGTCATGGCCGAGATTCGAACTGTAGCGAGTCGTAACACACATCACAGTCTACAGATTCTGCGTCGCGAGCGACTGGAGCCTTGTCACTCACCAGATAAACGTGATGATTAATGTCTTGCGACGCAGGTTGGGCGTCCTGACGAGGTCTAGGACGCCGTAATGGCGGTGTTTCTCCTTCTGCTTCACGTAACGTTCAACCTGGAACTTGCGCTGCAACAAAACGCAGAAGGCTCCTATGAAATGTTAACCTTTCTCACGTCGTTTAAATCGGCTCGGGACAGTTTCGTTAATGCCGTCACAGCCAAAGAGGCCGGTTCGTTCTTACATAATTAGTTCCTCATTTCTATCAACAGATGCCATGTTGATGTTTAGAAGAAAGAACAGGGTTTCATTTAAACTATACCTGTGGTCGTTTCATGGCTATTCGAGAAAGTGTTGTGGGTTCTTCTGCGCAGCCTTACGTTTTTAGTAGGTAGTTCTGTGGTGGGGATAGAGTCAAAAGGAATTTACTGATGAAATAAATGTTACATCGAAACTGCAAACACACGTTGTCATGCGTAACCTTTATTTAGAAGGACTGATTTTGGTAGTGACTTCTGGCAAAGAAACGAACTGACGGATCAAGTACGCCAAACAAATTTTGAGGGGAGGTTGTAAGCCATGGCTTGGCGATGTTAATATCATCTAACTGACGCTTTTTTTCCGAAAAACCACAGGCTCTACATTTGTGTTGAGCTCACGTGTGTAGTCACAGGATCTACGTACCTGTTGAATTTTTTAATCACAATTCTTAAAAACTGGTTTCTTTAAGGAAAAATTATTACAATATATTTATAATTACGTCATTGTAGGAATATCTCCGAAGATAGGGCGAGCCCTTAACAACGTGTGGGCCAAATTCCACAACTGTAGATCTTCTGCAAATATTATGTTTCTGGACATTATCTATCCTGTTTTTATTTAAAACACACGATGTTTCGGAGACTGCGTTCTGTCTCCGGACGGTCCAGAGATATGGACTAACTATCGATTGGGCCAAACTGATCAGGTTTCACCTGAAGACGGAGACAGAATCCGGTCTCCGAAACGTCGTGTGTTTTAGATACAAAGAGGACGATGGATAATGTCCAGAAACTTAATATTTGTATTGATGCACGATCTTCACAAACTTCTAGATCGGGTGAAGTTATCCCTGTGCTTAACTAATTTATGCACACGCCATGAAGGCGTATTGGGATGTATAGGTTTTCTTGATTTCGGCACTAGTTGGAGGTGAATGATCAGCTTCACGCCCCGGCCACTTTACCCCCGGGAAACAGTCCCCCGGTACCCGTTGGGTAGGCTGGGTGGACCACAGAGCCGGTCTGGACGACGTGGAGAAAATTCTTGACCGTACCGGGACTCGACTTCCGATTGTTCAGCCCGTAGGAAGTCGCTATACCGACTGAGTTGTCCCGACTACAAGTAAGGAAAATATGGGAATAGCCTGTCTCGGGGCCGAGATTTGAACCCGGACACCCGGAGTACGGGGCATGAGTGGTGCCTTGTATCTCACTGAGTGTTCGTGTAGCCCCCTCACCTTGAGCTGCACCATGTAGTTGCCCGGAAGTGGCTTGCCGTTCACTCTCGCCATCTTCTTTAGAATTTTCTCAGCTTCTTCAAACCTTCCTCGAGCCAGCAGCCATCTTGGTGACTCCGGAAGTACCCTAAGAACACGGAAACAGATTTTGTTTGGCGGAGTTTCGTGTTTTGCGAACCTCCAATCAAGCAAGTCATTAAAGCCAACTGATGACAACTGAACATTTTAATCTATTTAATAAATTATTCACTTCACCTTACATTTGTGGCAGACTTCTGTCATTTTAGGGTCTTTATTTAGGTCTGAAAGATATTAAGATTTTCACATTCTATTATTACAACACACGTCACCCGGTAGCGTAGTTGGTTGAGGCACTATGCTACAAGCCGGAAGGTAGCGTGTTCGATTCCCGTTGTGGTCATTGGATTTTTCAATTTACTTAATCCTTCCAGGCGCACTATGACCCTGGGGTCGACTCAGTCTCTAACAGAAATGAGTACCAGGAATCTTCCTGGGGGTAAAGGGCGGCCGGCGCGTAAGGCTAACAACCTTAGCGCCATCTGTGAGCCGATTGTCTAGCAAATGTGGGAGCCTCGACGTCTCACAACCCTATGGGTCTCCACTGTCTGTTACAGGGATAGCTTTACATTTTTTTACCTTTTAAATATTACAATACATCAAACAGAATAACATTTTATAGAGTCTATTATTTAAGTATTTTTCGAGCGTTCCTACTCCTGCTGTTTCACGCAACGCATCCCCTCTCCAACGAATACTTACGTTCCCGAGAGTTCGTAAAGCGAATAGATACGCAGTGTACTAATTGGGTGTTACTTTCCCGGGCGACCGGAAATGACCAAGACATTGCCAATTTTGTTGCCTGAAACGAAACAACCACCGACATGTTCGCTTTTGCTATAACTACTGAAGACCCTGTTATGCTATGACTGCAGAATCCTATGCAAGACGCACTGATTGCCCGTCTTTGAGTTCGTTGCTGCGCGTTATGGTTCGCACATGTTCGTTTTTGTTCGGAATGGATTTCAGATGATTAGCTATGAGGAAAGCATGCACTTCATTACATGTAACAGCGAATATTCGTAGAAGTGGACTGTCTGTATGACGCACCTGAGGTATGCAGGAAGGGCTGCCTATGTTGAAGTTAATTCTGCTTTTGGGTCTTTGCGCCGTATGGATGTGGGCAATGCTGCCTAAATTTTAGATGTAATTCTGCCTTTACGTGGTAGGTGAAGACGGTAAACAGCCCTTCCTAGAGTCATCGACTGAACCAAATTCCATATAAGATTGGTGTTCCTAGCCGTTGCCCTACAAAGGGCCGTTTTATAGCACTTTCCCCTCCAGTGTCCCTCTTGGTCAGGACCGGACACGAACACCCACCCTTTCCCCGTAAGCATGTTGGGACGAAACCTACACGTATATGAATACTAACACTCTTTATTCATTTCGACCCTGAAGATAGAAAGAATAAAAATATCCGAAACGTCAGAAAAACTGTTCACTGCAGAGATCTGAACCCATATTTGCGAGATACTAAAAGGGAATTGTAAACATTCAGAGATGACGGTCGGTGAATTTCCAATTCGAAACAGGACATTCATTAACAGAAGAAAATAAACAGCGAGCGACTTCTTGAAGAAGAGCGTGAGAACTGCGCCACTGGGCCACTGCGCCGGGGATGTCCCCTGAGGATACACAGCTGGTAATCAATCAGTCCCGGGAAGGCCGATAGTTTCGTATGCAGAGATAGGGTATTGCTGTGATGAGGTCTACAAGTCAGACGTCAACTGAGGTTCAGACATCACAAGTGGCAGAGCGGTGGTTGGCAAGTGACGACGTCCAGTTTGGTAGACGTTCGCTGCTATTTCTGGTTCCAGCTTCAGGGTCGGAGATAAGCTAATCAAGCACCGAGTAAGAGGCAACTCAGCCAGATTATTTTCCCCTCTAAAAACAATGCGTGCTACATACCCCACTCATCTCAGACTAGTCTAGTAATATCTAATGAAAAGTACAAAATACTCTCCTCGTTATGCAGCTACTTACACACTCAGCACCCTGTTCCCGAACGGAACTTTTTTTTATGAGTGTCAGGGTGTCCCAGGGGGGAAGAACAGTATTCTGGGAGGTCACAGTAGCGGTCGTTCCAAGCAAAAATATGTATATGTACATGTGTCCTGTTCCGAGCGGTTTCCGTCATAGAGCTACTTCACACCTATATGAACACCCAGGCTAGTGAGCACTGCTCTGCACATGGAGGCATTATATACATGAAACAGAAGTAGATATTACTAAAAGTACTATTTTCTGGGATATAACGCCGTGTAGTCCGTTGAAAGTCAACGTTTGGGAGGAACATGTCGCCTCTATTTATAGAACCGAAAAATAAGCCAAGCAAGAAACCACGTAACAATCAGAACCTGATGATGGAAGCGACATATCCCTCCGATACGTCTGTTGACTTTTCAACGGGGCTACATGGCGTTATATCGTATGAGGTCCATAGTGGGGATCTCATTGAACACTCAGAGAATGTGTACAGTTCTGATGAAAATAACACGCCACTGATCAGTCTGCAGGGCTAATCACGGAGTTTCCTTTCCGTTCGTGTCAGAGAAGTCGAGGACGTGAACTCCGGACCCATCAGACCTTATAATTGCATTGCCGTTACGTCGCATAGAGCTTAATAAGGAAACTGTTGGAGTATGAACTGAAATGACGCCATGTGAGAGACGCTGTTGCGGCGTCGGTGAGGACGGTGAATCTCAGTGAGCGCCGGGCTGCACATAGCCCGCTTTATCACTGTCTCGGGCCGCAGCTCACTTGAGCCCACCGCTTCTTCTAAATCCTTAATAGGACGAAGGCTCTGAATTCGTAAAGACATAACAGACTGCACGGCGCTATGCCCATGAGTACCACAACCTTGACAGTCACGTCTGTGAGAACCTCAACTTTCTTATAAAACAAATTTAGCTCATGAAACAACGGTTAAATTTTACCAGACTACACGGTGCCGTATTAGAGAAGATTCTTTCACACACACATACCCAGGAAGCCCAACAGTATAACACACGCAGTCGCAGGAGCACGACACAACAAAAGCACAACACACAAGATAGTGAAGGAGTGCTCCAACAAAGGAGAATGGGCGTGACTGACGTAGTGAGGGGCGACGTAGCGATGTGGTATCCTGAACAATTTTAATAATTTAATGTTTGACAATGTATATGATAGATACATATTTTAGTTATTTTAATGTGTGAACATGGCATGCAATGAACTGGTTTGACGTGGACAAGTAAGCACCTGAAGATGGCATTATTATGCCGAAACATGTAGTGCGAGGGAAAGGAGATAAATGAATGTATGCACTGCAAGACGGATTAAATAAATCATGGACTTAAATCAGTGCAACAGGACGCTAAAATATAACAGAAGATTCTTTATATTAAAGGTATTTAATTCTTCCCCCGCGTAGGGAATCTTACTAAATTTCGTAAGGAAATATTCGCTGATGCTCAGCTGCAGTAAACTGGAAAGCGTATTCCTTGGGAGCCGCGGGGATATTCTCAATGATCCTTAATACAATTATTCTTCTCCACACTTGTCGCACTTCTCACAAACAGGACTTAGTTACCTTGGCCTCTCATTCTTAGTATCGGAGTTCCATTTCTGTAAATGGGAGATGTCGTCGTCATCATCATTTTGTTAGAGGGTTCTCAGTCTTCGCCTGCTCCTTCTTCTGATATGGGCAATGTGAAACCGCCTCAGTGAACGTAATATGTAAACAATCGGGTCGTACCTCTCAGGAAACACATTACGTCTCTGCTACAGAGGCCAACCGGTTAATGCTGTTTAGGGAAACAGTCGCTGTTTACTGTGAGAACCATACGGAACACACAAATACACTGTGTGTGGGCAGAATATATAGCAATTCAGTCCGTACCTCACAGGAAACACATTCCGTCTCCGCTACAAAGCCCAACCGGTTAATGCTGTTTAGGGAAACAGTCGCTGTTTATTGTGAGAACCATACGGAACTCACAGATGCACTGTGTGGGCAAAATGTAGTCATTTATTGTTACAGCATATGGTACATATAGTTACCACTGAGCTTTTGAGGATTAGACGCTCCAGAGGGAATTAAGGAAACAAAATAAATGTTTTATACCACAGAGCATGGAACTGGGGGCCTTATGTTTATCTTACACCAGAAACAGGAGCAACTCTACAGAAGTTTCGCAGTGCATGTGAGAGTGTGTTGCTCGTCTGTGTTCAGGCCGTAACAGTGCCGATATTACCGCAAATGGAAGGAGCAAACGAAACGTTTTAAGAGTTTAAAGGGTAGGAAAGGGGATGACCATTATGCCTGCATAAGCGGGATAAGACTGACATATGGTCCTGCTCAAGCAGATTCAGTTACCGATAACATTACGTGTAGAGAGCTGAACCAAAACATACAGTTATGTAATTAAGCGCCACGGCATGAAAGCGTGTGGGAGAGTGATGTACAGCTCCTCGTCACTAGCTGAAGGTGGAGTTGTCGACTTCACGCCCCGGCCGGTTTGCCCTCCGCGGAAACAGCGCAGGTTACACATTGCATGGGAGGCTGTGTGGGCCCCACAGTCGGTCTGGACGTTGTGGAGAGATAAATTTCTTGCCCCTATCCAGTATCGAACTCTGATCGTCTACTGTTCATCGCTTTATTTAATTGTAAATTAGGTCTTCAACCTTTAGTTTACTGAACTTAACGTAACGTGTGTAACTTCTTCTAAACTCCATCCGCGACGTCATATCTTCTATATGCAACCTTACGGAAGTACAGTCCTGTGCAATTACCTCTGAATTTCCTACATGCGAATCAATATTGCTAGTAACTTATTAATGAGCCGATAACGGTGGCCGCGTGGTCTAAGGCATGAATTGTCTTCGTCCGCTCCAACGCTTGGATCGTGGGTTCGATTCCCACTCAAAGTCACAGATGTCTGTGCGTTTATTCTGTGTTTGTGTTGTCCTATGTGTAGGTAGCGACCTTACGACGAGCTGATCCCCTGTCCAAGGAGTCCCACTGTCAGTGTAAAAACGATTATGAAACTGAAGAAAGGGCCGGGGCCCAACAAAGGGCTGTAGAGCCATTGATGAAGGAATGAATGAACTTAATAATGACGTAGCGGATTATGTCACTGATTATGACGTGTCCTCATTCAAACAGTTGATGGAGTATAGGACTCCGCGTGGAGGACATAAAGCTTTTGTAGCTAGCTCTGTGTCTGTAACAAGCCTTATGTTTTTTATTTTTTTTTCTGGTTTTTACAGCCCAAACGCTCATTGTGCTTGTGTAAAGCAGAGATTGTGCGCGTCATGTTTGCGGATATTAGTAGTGGCATTGTTACGTCACATATGGGAGTCAAATAACTGGAAAGGTTGCTGGGATCTAGACACCGGATTTTTCAATTCGAAATTTTAATTAATTTTTTTTTTTTTTACTTTATAAATGTTGAAGAGAGAGCATGAATTACTGTCCCGAGTTTGCTGTAAGCGGAAGAACACAAATCAATAGCATATGTAAACCTTGCGTTTAAAATATATTTAACCCTTTGACGACTGATGACTTCGAAAATTCATATAAACGTTATTTAAAATCCAGTTTATATGGCATTTAGGAGCAAATAGGGGTTAGAGTAAGAGCACTTTCAGACTCTGTTCAGAGCAGCTGCAGAGACTAAAACCACGCGACAAATTATCCAAGATTCGCTTCAGCTGGGTGAAGGAGATATTTAAGATATATTAGACGTTACATGTTCTAAATTACGTCTTAGCTCGACACTTCGCATTCACAGCGCTTTCGAAAAAAAAAACTCGAAAATTTTATTCACTTCAGTAGGTTCTGTTCCTAAAATTTATGGAAGTTCTCTTACCGGAAACCAAGTCTGACATTCTGACGTTCCTTCAAGTTGAGTTGACCTTGGTGGAAGCTTCACGAGGAAAAGTGTCCAGAAAACTTATTTCTCGTCCCTCACTTTCCAATCCTTACGAGCTTAACACTCTCTCCTCTCTGGAGAAGAGAGTCAGCAACTCACTTACAGTATTGAGTCGGCGTCTCTCCTACCACGTTTTTATTTCCAGCGTCGCCTGGGGACGCTTTTAAAAGCCGTCGCGCTGCTTCTAGTGGTCTGCTGGAGTGGCCGGGCAGCTGCAGCGGGGGAGGGGGGCGCATAAGTGAGCCCTATCCTCACATAATTAATTTTACAATGTTTAGATGCATTTATCTACGCAAGCACGGGCTCCACGTTTTTGGAATTCGGCATACAAGCAGTTGAGTGAAGAGTTCTATCTTCTGAGATATATTCTCGCGTGGCTTATTCTTCCACCCTGAAGATGGAGGCGATATATTCTTCCGAAACGTCGGTTGACTTTCAACGGACTACACGGCGTTATATCCCAGATGATAGTACCCTTCATAACCACCGGTGTGGGAACCTCAACTCGTAAGTACGAGTACTCCAGGATGCTCTGCATCTGCTGGCGTTCTCTGCGGCCATTGAAATGCAGTTCCGTCTTTAGGTTAGTGTTATTAAAACATATTTGCGAGAATGAAGTAATCTTATGGAAAATCAGAGCATTCAGAGAAGCCTTGGTTATTTGTGTGCCATATTTAATAAACATAAATTTCAAAGTTGCTTAGAAAAAAAATACCTAAATTTGATAAAATTAGCAGTGTGAAGACAGCTTAGCGACTAACCTGTGACACTGGGTGGGCCGAAATCATACCGTGCTTTAATCCGCTTCTGGACGTTCCCCAACAATAGCCCCTTCGCCTTCCTGTCGCACCCTCAGCTCTGGACCATCTGGACCACTAGCGTTGTCTAATGGACTTCTCTTGTAGTCTTCTGAGTGGCGGTAGACTTGTCCCTCATCACACCATGAGGGCGTATGAGGAAGTGGAGCTACAGCTCCATGGAGCTTCACGCACCGGTTAATATAACTCTGTACCCACTGGGTAGGAGGCTGGGTGAGCGCTGGAAGCGTTCGCGATGAGAATTATCTCTACTCGTGATGAGTATCGAACCCCGATAATCCAGCTCATATTCTACTCACTATATTGACTGAGCTATCCAGGCGCTGAAGCATGTTGAGTGTAAAGGTTAAGTTGTTCCTGCGCTTAATTAATTATGCAGTACGCCATGAAGACGTAAGGGGAAGTGGAGATAAGCTCCCTCTTTCATGTCCTCGGCACTAGACGGAGGTGAGTGGTCAGCTTCACGCCCCGGCCTTTTACTCCCTGGGAAAGATCCCCGGTAGGCACTGGATAGGAGATTGGGTGGCCCCCAGAAGCGGTCTGGATGCTGCGAAGATAGCAATCTTACACTGCCGGGAATCGAACCCAGGCCGTCGAGCCTGTAGCCCCGTCTCTATACCGACTCAAAATTACATGGCCAGACTTCATATGCTGTCTTAAATTTTCCGTGCTCTGACAAAGAATTTTATTATACCGTAAGAGTGACACTTTTGCTTACTGCTACCACTTCTACTACTACTACTACTACTACTACTACTACTACTTGTACTACTCATGGAGCTGAACCCTTCTTGAGAAGCTACCAGTTGCCGAGCTACTCAATTTCCCAGTATTTTATGGAACCCGATGGTTCATTACCGTTTTCAGCAACAATAACAGAACAGTTTTTATTCTTTGATACTATATTTTTGACCTATTCGGGTCCATTAGCCCATTTGATACTTGAAATGTGTTTCGAGCCCAGGTCAGGTCATGTGGGATTTGTGGTTCATAAAATGACACTAGTGCGGGTTTTCTCCGAGTACTTCGGTTTCCCTTGCCAATGATCGTTCCAGGAAGTTCTACGCTTCCTGCAATCTGACGCCGTTATATTTTCTTGATAGTGACAGCGTCGTTAAATAACCTACCTCAAACACGTTCTCCAGTTCCTTGATCTAATCGCTTTGAATTGTAAATATTTTCGGAGGTCTGTTCCTGAACATTCTGTCAACATGGTGAATGCAATTTGTTTCATGTCTGAACGTCTGCGCAGTTGTCTTATATCTGAACTTCTGCGCAGTCCGGGTTCTGCTTCTGAATCTTGTAACGCGTCTCGGTTTCCTTTGCGGTCCATCCAAGCGTATTTAGCGGGTCGTCTCTTGAATTTTGTTTCGGCCTCTGTAATTCTGGACTAAAGAACAAAAAGAACTTCAATTTGCATGAGCTCATTTCAAAAGAAGAAAAACGAATTGTCCACCGCGGAACTCCAGCCACGAGATGATCCTGCTTAACACTTGTCGTGAAGGATGAAGGACATTTTTCTCATTAAGCCTGGCAGAACAAAGAGATGCAACCCGGCAGACAGCACTCGACTTTTAGCAAAAGTTAAAACAAGTAAATCTTCCTTCTTAAATATTTTTAAGGACAGTCGCCTACTGCGAAGTTATAAATTGTGCTCTACAGGAGAAAGAAGTGTAAATAAAATATGAAGATTTCCTACGTATAAAACACATCGGTCGTTATAAAAGTTAAATTGCGCATAATTTCATGCCGTCTGTTGTATAATTTAATTTAATGTTCTACCATTAAGTGTCTGCTCTCTCAACTTTAATGTAGTTAGCAAGTTCATATTGCTCCGAACTCGTGACCAGAATCTTCGATGGAAGTACATTTTTTCTTAGCAGTGACGCGACAACTCAGAAATGAAGCAATGAAATAGTTGTAAGATTTGAGGTTTTCACGGCGGTGACTATGAAGAAAGCCGTCTTCTGGGATGTGGCGCCGTGTAGAAAGTGTGTTAACCGACGTTTCGGAGGAACGTATCGCCTCAATCTTCAGGGTAGAAGGCAAGAAGAAATCCGCGAGCGAACTAGCTAGAGCAGGTGAAACTGACTGTTGCACATACTTTCTACACGGCGCCACATCCCAGAAGACGGCTTTCTTCAATAAAATAGTTGCTTACCACAGTACAATCCTCCATACTGAATTCATCTGTTTATCTGATTATGAATATTATTGTCGTGTGGAATGTAAAGCCATTTAGTCTGGTATATTTTTACTAAAGTTTCGGAGTACATGCTACCTCCTTCTTCTATGTAAGTGGTGTTTTTACTCACCACCAGTACAGGAAAAACGACAGGAAAGGGATCGACGTTGCCAGGGAGAGCTGTCTCCAATCTCGGACGAGAAACACTACTCCAGACAGCACAACAAGTCCGACTGAGTAGGCGATGTTGGTCAGAACAGTGCATGTGGTCCTTCGGGCCGGCCCCACTAGCTCGATTGCTGAAACACAACACTTTTTTTTTCCATCTATAATTACGAAACGTAGTATGTAACTGCAAATACCATAAAAACACAGAAATTTTAACTGATGCTAGAAGGGGGTTGGTCTAGAAGTAAACACAGAGAAAACTAAGTATAGGTTGCTGTCTCGTCACCAAAATGCAGGACAAAATCATGACATAAAGACAGGAAACAGATGTTTTGAAAATGTGGCACAATTCAGATATTTGGGAACGACGATAACAAATCGAAACCTGATTCAGGAGGAAATTAAGAGGAGACTGAACTGGAGTAATGCTTGCTACCATTCAGTCCAGAACCTTTTGTCTTCTCGTCTGCTGTCCAAAAACGTAGGATACACAAAACTTTAATTTTGCCTATGGTTCTTTATGGATGTGAACCTTGGTCTCTGACATTAAGGGAAGAACATAAGACTGAGGGTGTCGAGGAGAATATTTGGGCCGAAGAGGGATGAAGTGACAGGAGGTTGGAGAAAACTGCATAATGAGGAGCTTCATAACTTGTACTCTTCTCCAGGTATAATTAGAATTATCAAGTCAAGGAGGATGAGGTGGGCAGGTCATGTAGGACGAATGAGGAGAAGAGGAATGCATATAGGATTTTAGTTTGAAAGCCATAAAGAAAGACCAGTGGGAAGACCGAGACGTAGGCGGGTGGACAGTAAACTGGATCTCACAGAAATATGATGGGATGGTATGGATTGGATTGATCTGACTCAGGATAGGAGCCAGTGGAGGGCTTTTGTGAACACGGTAATGAACCATCGGGTTGCATAAAATGCTGGGAAATTCCCGAGTGGCTGAGCGACTGGCGGCTTCTCAAGAAGGGCTCTGTCACTACCTGGAATATGTGGCATTGAATGGCATGATTGATAAACCGGAAAGGATTTTTGCAATACACGGTGACTGCGTAAAACCACCAAAAGCCTCAGTCACTGTAGCTGATGTCCCAGCAGAGATTCGAGCCAAGAATTCCTGAATAGAATTCTAGAGCGTTAGTAACCGGGTTCTCGGGAGAGATTCGAAAAACACTAATCAGAAGTTGGGGCAACTTTGCATCATATAGATAGAGAACAGTCGCGACGCATGCGCGTAGCGCTCGATTTGTTTCTTCTACAAGCAGGAAGCGTGCGGATGTGAGAGAGTTTGTACGGGAAACGGGAACTGCGTCTGAAGTCTCAGTCATTTCCATAACACCAAGAGGGAAAACACAGTCACACGCAATTCTATTTACCAAGAAAAGAGAAAATTAAGTGGAAACTACTGCAAAATCCGCCGAGAATTCAGCGAGAAATCTCTTCATTTGTTATACAAGCGTTCGTGCAGTTAACTTCGCTTACTTTAACAGTCCTCCATGTTATCGAATGATGCGTCGAGACCGACGTTTAACGCCATCTCCCACGGATAAGAAAAGTATGAATTATAAATTGCAAACTATCTCCATCTAAGGGACCTAACAGAGAAGGTGTCTCCCCCTCACCTGAGGAAGGAAAAAGATCCTGTTTCCGAAACGTTGTTTTCTAGTTTCTATAATACTGGACGATGGAAAAAGACCGAAGACTCAGTAATTCTGAGTGTTCTACGTCATCGCTAGAGACCTTGAGAATCTAGCTATATGTAGCAATGTGAATGCCTAGATATGTAGCTAGCTACACTTACTGATGGAGTTGAGCCCTTCTTGAGGAGCCGCCAATTCTGCAGCTGCTCAAGAACTTCCCAGCATTTTATGGAACCCGAAGGTTCATTACGGTGTTCACAGGAGCCCTCCACTGGTCCCTATCCTGAGCCAGATTAATCCAATCCAAACCACCCCTTCCTATCTCTCCAAGATCCATTTTAATATTGTCCACCCACCTACGCCTTGGTCTTCCCAGTGGTCTATTTCGTTCTGGCTTCCCCACCAATATCCTATACGCATTCCTTGTCTCCACCATTCGTGCTACATGCCCTGCTCATCTCATGCTCCTTGACTTGATCATTCTAATTATACTTGGAGAAGGGTACAAGTTATGAAGCTCCTCATTATGCAGTTTTCTCCAACCTCCTGTCACTTCATCCCTCTTCGGTCCAAATATTCTCCTCAACACCGTTCTCAAACACCCTCAGTCTATGTTCCTCCCTTAATGTCAGAGACCAAGTTTCACGCCCATACAGAACCACAGGCAAAATTATAATTTTATAAATTATGAATATATAGGTGGACGCAGGCTGTAGATAGGCATATGTCTATAAATGCTTACAGAGTGAAGCTCACCACTCACCCCATCTACTGCCGGGGTTAAGAATGGTGGAGCTATACCTCCACTCCCCTATATGTCTTCATGGCATGCTGCTTAATTAATTAAGCCCAGGGAGAAATTTACCTTTTTTATATAGAGATGTGTGTAGTCTACAGGGGCGTTTAGATACACAGGCAGATCGACAGAGAAACAATACGACGAAAGAAAGGAAAGAATGATGGATGGATGGAAGAAGAACAGAGAAGGAAAGTAGATAGGGAGAGAGAGGACAACGTGACGAGGCGGTTCATTGCTGTAGCAGCTTCCTGTTCAGCGGGCGGAACTGGGAACTGCAATTCACTTACAGCGGGCTGCTGGCTGTCTGTCTCTGTTCGCACCCCAGTGGGACTGCATTTCGGGCCTGTCACTGAATGCGCTCACTTCCAATGGCACTGAAACGTTGTTCTATCAGTCGCACAAGATTACAGCTCATTAACTACATTCTAGTAGTGGAAATTCGAGGGCACAGTGTGACAATTCCCATCTCCACAGTTAACCCTTCCCTTGATCAACCTTTATACGTCACAGCTCTTGAGGGACACTCTGAAATCAAGTTTATATTGATTATGCGCGCTATGGTCTTCAGAAGTTCTGATACGGCAACTTGGTATGATAAGCATAATACTAAAAATAATATTGCGGCGTATAGACGCGTTGCCAGGCAACCACCGCGAAACAAACAACGAGACGACAGCTGTTGCTAGGAACCGGCCAGCGCGCCAATGGACTGGCCGGAAAGCAGTGTTTTCCGTGTGGTCTGCGCCGATGGCTGCGCACGAAACACTGGATACAGCAATGAGGACCCTCTAACAGAAATGAGTACCAGGAATCTTCCTGTGGGATAGAGGACAGCCGGCGCGCAAGGCTGGCAACCTCACCGCCATCTGTGAGTCGATTGTCTAGAGAAAATGTGGGAGCCTCGACGTCTCACAACCCTATGGGCCTCCACTGCCCGCTATAGGGATACCTTTACCTTTTTACTACAGTAACTACTG